AAAACGTTTATCCGATTGGCAAAACCTTTTTCACAGATGAAAAAAAAATAAAAACAGCTTGACAGTTCGAAATCGATCTGAGAAGCAAGTGGTACAAGTAGGAAGTCACTTAACTATGTAATCTGTCTGCATAGTCACAAGCAAGTAAATAATTGAAGCCTTTGGGTTGAAAGAAATACAGTTTCAAAGAAGGGTTTAACTAGGTAAATCCTCGCTGCTCAATCTCTCTGTGAGCTTGTGTGACTTTGTCACATCATCTCAGCTGTTTCCTCCCGGCTTGATGTAGGGTGTCATACTACAGCGGACAGCTTCCTGTCCAGCAGGGCTTCAACCAGTCGGCCTGTGAGCCATTTCTTATCATTTCACCCTGACATCACAGACAGAAGTGGCCGAAAAATCATGTCATCAACCAGTAGCCACACATAGCCATAAGAGCATGTCTAGCATGGATTTTAGACAGCTTTTAATTTCACATTGAATTGCACTTTCTGGCTTTTGATAAAGGTTTAAGCTGGCCCTCTGCCACAGCACTTAAACATAGAGATGTATGCTTTTCTTGTATGATTACATGCACACACTCAATGGTGTGTCAAATGAGTGAGGCTGAGAGCGTTGTAATGCACATTCTCAGGTTGTACCTGAATATTTAACCATCGGGTCGAACACCTCGTACTCACCAACTCGCAGGTGATAGTGTTACATTCACACCTCTTGCCATTTCCTTCTCGACATCTATCATTTGTGTCAAAATATTGCATCCGCTAAAGGACTGAGCTGGGTCAGGTTCACAAGTTAACTGAAGTTCAACTGACTTATATTACGTACATTACAAATATGAAGTGTTACATCATACAGTATGTACAGTGTTGTTATATTACACCATAAACCCTTTCAATTGCAAGCCCATTAAATATTAAACCTTTGTTAAATCAAAAAACTAAAAGCTGAAAATTAGGGTTTTGATAAATGTCTCACCACTGATGTTATTTTGATGGTGTCCATTGTTCTGTCTTTCATCTCTCTGATAATTGGGTGTATGAATGTAAAGTCCATCTGCAGTTTACTTGAGAGATGACTGATAACACGTGTCTGTGTGTGCGGTAGTGATGAGTGGGAGCCTGTGGCTGGTGGTCCAGACTGCAGGTTTGGCGATAGGCCAGACGTGATGATCAGGGCAGTGTGGTTAGAGCTCCACGTTAATCCCCTCTGCTTCTGCTTTGTGTTGCAGCCAGTCCACTGTCAGCACAGCTATCCTTCCGAAACTAAAGCTCCCAGCCTGTTTCTTGCATGGATCACTAAAATATTGTGTTTTTTGGACTTTTATCTTAAAGATTTTTGAAGTTTGGAACCAAAACCCCCCTTTTGCCTTTCTACGTTTTCAAGATCCACAAAAGACAAACTACTTTTATCAATTGTGTATATGAGAAGATATGACATCTTGGAGTCTATTTTATTCTCTAAAAAGAAGTGAGAAAGCTTCAGTGTTGTCATCATACATCTGGAATTGGTAGCTGTATTGTTTTCATCTGCGATGCCTCTCCTTCCTCCTTCTGTGGTTGTCTTTACAATTGACTCTTCATATGAGTCACACTGACAGCAGTGGCACAAAGAGCTTGTGTGGTTTGACAGATCTCTGATGAAGACCCGCATTATGTCTCATATAACCGTGGATACACTTAGGTTATAATTTGTATCTTTTCTCATGCCAGCTGGCACAATGGTGGTCGAAAAGCTCTGCCCACAATTGCTTTCTCTTGTAAACAAGCTGGCCACTAATTTGGATGGAATGATGAGTGTTTGAGCTACTGCAGAGACACTTTATGAAGTGCAATTTAAAACCATCATGCTGACAAGCTTTCCTTCTGAGAAACTGACTTTTAACAGCAGTGTTTACCTTGCCTGCCCTATTTACCCCATAATAACTACTAATATATATCTTTGACTGCTCAGCTGCTCAGTTGCACAATAAAAGTATCCATATGGAAAATGAATTTAGAAAATTAAACAATCTTGTTTTTCCCTGAACATGTGCCCTGGCAACTAACAATAATACATTTTCTATTTAAAAAAAAATATAAATATATATAATATGGCATATTTCTTGTATCGTGCACTACAAGCATTATTTTATACACTTCACATTTTACTAAGATAATATCTCATATCTGAAAACGTTATATGGCTAGACATATATTATATTTTAGGTGAACCAGCCCTTTGAAGCGATCACTGTAACATACAGTAAGTGTCTCCTTCTCAGTTCTGACAGTATTTAGCACCTGTTTGGAAAACCATCCCTTTAACCGCTATTGCTTGTGTTGTATTTCACTCCACAGGAACATTATCCTCCATTACAAGCTCCTCTGACACCACGAACAAAAGAGCGGCTCAGACTCATCTGACTAATGACACTATCCTCTGACTGTCAGTGAGCACTAATGGTTTCCCCTGCTCTCCACAGGTTAAGCTGATGGCCTTGTTGTTGTGTATATTTTCTACAGGGGGGCCAATAAAGGTTTGGCACTGTCATGGTTAACTCAGTTTTATGCTTTATTGGTCCCATAGCAGCAATCAAACTACAGTCCACACTCGGACAATTTGTTAAATGTTAAGTGTTGAGTAAAACTGTGGCTTAATAACTGAATAAAGGAGAAATAGAAGTTACTGAAAGTGTTGACTCATTCAACTGCATTTCTAGGTTGCCCAAAAAGCGAGGAAGCTCTAAAATAAAGTGAACGTGGCACTCATTTTATTTCAGTATTGGTAGTGCGTAGCTGATTTATATTAATCAATGATCAACTGGTTGCAGTTTTTACTACCATAACAGTACCATGGTAATAATATCAACATCCAAAAGATGAACATGTTCAAGTACAGAGACGTAAACATCTGCAGTGCCAACAGAGCTGAACTGTAAACACGTCAGTGTAACCCCAGCTGTCAGAATCTATCAATCCCCAGCTCTGAGCTTGACTGGTGTATCAGCTCTGGTTGCAAAGCGTCTCACAGAGAATCACAGTGTCGCTTATCGAGATAATTAGTAACATAAGAAAATAAGGGAGTCTTAGCCCCAGTATTGCCCTGTAATTGTTGAACCAGGCAGCGCTGACTCACAGCTCGGGGACAGGCAGAGGAAGGGCTGTGAAATGTGAGTGAGCAGCGGATAGATCAGATATCGACCACACACATTAGTTCAGCAAGGCACATCATCTCTTCTCAAGTTCTCCTTCATCATTGTCTTCTCTGGATATGCGCCACCTTTCAATTATACTGTCTTCTCATTGTCCCCCTTTCTCTGCCAACACATACGTTATCTCTTAACTCATTAATCCATGTTGTATCACTCGTCTTTCATCCATCTATCTGCTGTCCATCTCATTTTCCTTTTATACTTGTACACTATACTCTAATGCAGTGGTTCCCAAACTTTTTGTGCCCAAGGCACACCAAAGGACAAGTAAAAATCTCAAGGCACACCTATTGTGCAAAATAGCTCTTATAACACGTGTTATCACTCATATCATGTAAAATATCTGTAAATGTGCATAATTATTTACTAATGCCAAATAAAATGTGACAAAGACAACTATATTACTCATGAAATATTTATTAACGAAATATTTCAGAAATTAATTTGAAACTTTATCAAATTAGGCTTCATCAAAGCAGCAACACACTCATTTAAACCAGACAGGTCACACAATTAAAAATGAGGCAAAGGAAACTCAGCAGAAATTCAGCACAGAGAACTGTCAATGCAAGGAAGCTGCATTGTCCATGGTCCTGAACTACACATTATAAATGTAACATTTCAGGAATCAGCATTGAAACATGTGCTATTGTAAATATTTTTGCCGACTTCACAAATTAGTGAGATACATGTGCCTGTCGGGGCGCGCAGAATTTTGTAATCCTTGGTGGCACTGAGGAGAGGGCCACTCGCAAGTCCTGTTCAACAGAGAGCCGTGACCTCCTGTTGTTCTTCATGTAAACCAGAGAACGCCAACTCCAGAGATGGGGTCGTTACTAATTTTTTTTAATATATTACATATTACTTTAAAAAAAAAAAAAGTTATATATTACACTACTTCGTTACTATCTACATAAAGTAACTCGTTACTTTACTCGTTACTTCACCCGCCGAGCACGTACGAACTGCGCATGCCTGAGTGGCAATAACTTTCCTTACCAGCAGGCGGCGGTAGTGTGTATTTGTCATTCAAAGCAGGCAACAACCGGAAGACAGAGAAGAAGAACAGACTGCGTGATATAAACAAACAACAAATAGCGTGTGCGGTAGCTTCACCTTAGCATGTGTTCTTTGCAGGTGTTTGTTGAGATTTGACGTGGTGTTTCCAGCAGTGGATAACAGCTTCTGGCCTGGACACAGTTTGCACCTCACCGTCACATTCCTGTCTATTCTTCGGACGAACTCAAAGTAATGGGCATACCTCCACCGCTCGAAAGTTATCGCTGACTCAGCCATGTTTATGCAGCACTGCGTGGAGATGTGGACGCGCAAGTCGCGCAGATTACGTACATATAAACATACAAAGTACTGATATAGTAAATGAAAAAGTAATTATTTTTGTGAAATTGTATATTCCAATAATAACGTATGGTTGTCACAAAATCCCACGGCACACCCAGACTTGCCTCACGGCACACCAGTGTGCCGCGGCACACCGTTTGGGAACCACTGCTCTAATGTATGAACAGATACTCCATCCTCTTCTGTTTGATGTCCGTTCCTGTCATTTGATAAGATCCTTCTATAATCCTTTATATATTACAAAGGCAAATCCTTTACGCCCCATTCCTCTCTCTGCTTTTCCACTTTCACACAAAAAGTGACGGAAATACAATGATTCATTTCTGTTACCTGTCTCGTTTTTTTTATCCATGCCAAGCGTATGTTATGGCTGTATGGCGTAATGTTGGAAACCTGAGTTTCTCTCTGAGCATTGGTATATTGTTCAGATGGACAATTTATGACAACATGGCTTCTTGTCTGCTAAACTCATCGACATAGATCTGAAACACAAAATCCTGCTTTAGTAATCACATACAGAATACACTGTGTAGAATACATTTATTAACAAGTAAATAAGGCATTTTTAAAGTGAATATCGTATAAAAAATATAGCTGTTGGTACATTTCTATCAGGAAATCTTGTTTCACTTACACATCAAGTGAATACACTAGGATGAGATAGTGAGGGCAGTTTTGAAGATGTCCTGTAGAGTTTTTAAGAGATGGTCCCTGCTTCTTTGTATAGTTTGAGCATGTGAGCAATGCACCAAAGTAGCAATGAATGCAACAGCAAATAAGAAGCCTGCAAGCGCTTGATCATGATGTAAACAATGCACAATTTAAATGACTGTTTTCAAATTCGGCTTCGAAAATGTTTTATGAGGAAGAAAATTATTTAGAAAACTCTTTTGTTAGACTTCAAGGACACACAATGTGCTTTGGTGAAAAGCAATAAATGAACACAGACCTTTGTTTGCAAGACAATTCCACAGGGCCTGTAAACCAGTCTTTTATACAGCTTTTATATGGAAATAGATCATCAAATTATTTGTTTTAAACCTTTGGCACGGTCTGAGATATCACATTACAGTAATAAATAACATGTATTCCTTTTATAAAAACATAATAAATATCAATAAGTTAATAAATTCAAGATTTCATAAATACATTTCATATGTGTATAACTTTTTCCATGTAACATACGTGCTATACAATAGACAGAACGAGTCTGCTGAATCATCCATTGTGTCTGACTGATTTCAGTCCAGAAAGTATAGGTAGAGTATCCATGGAAACATTTAAAATCACACTGAACATATTAGCAATGTGAGGTGTGAACTGTGAAGGAAATTGGGATATTTGGATTAAGCAACGAAGCGGATCCTTGCTTTGAGGTTAAAACTGTAAACTCCTTTCCTTCTTTATTCCTTTACTGTTGGACTGGATTCGACCACAAGTAATGTCTGGAAGTCTCCTTACAGTGGGAAAAACAGAAGAAAAAACACTCAACATCAACTTCAAAATGGGAGGGTATGTTAAACTACACAACACCTGACACCAGCTCCCTACACACAGCCACACTTCCTGGCAGAGTGCTTCCTCACGATGTGGTACACCAGGTTGTCGTCCAAAAACGAGAGGTCATCATCAAACGATATTGGCCGACAGCAGGTCTGTGGGGGCGTGTCCTTAGGAGGAAGCCTCCTGTTGTGAGCGAGGTTATAAAGGATTTTGTCATAGTTTGTCTCAGACTTCCTGCAGGGTCCGGAGCAGTACCTGAATATCATTTCCTCGCTGGAGCTGTAACCCAGCCCAAGGTCTGTCACATTGAGGTGGATCTGTTTGAGCACACAGCCCTGTCCTCGTCTGTTACCTCCCTTTACCTTCCCTCCTGTCTCCCCTCCTCTAGCTCTTCCTCTTCTTCCTCCACTCTGCTGGCTTGTCCCCTTCTTCCTTTCCCTCCTGAGTCGAGTCCTGCTGCTCAGGTCTTCTTCGGAGGGGGAAGAGGTAGGGGAGGAGGTAGATGAGGACACAGTGGATGAGGAGGAACGACGTATTTTACTGATGGTCCCTTTGATTAAATCCACCATGTCCTTAAACTCATTTGTAGGGTACTCCTCCATGGTGTCTGAAACACATTAAGACAAATGGTACTCTTACAAGGGCAGCAAGCACATTATTGTTTCACTCATCATCTGGCTATTGAACAGATGTTGAGAGGAATTTAATTTGAACTGACTGCCAAGTTACAAATGTTTTTATTTATGAACCAGACTGTTGAGTGCTTCATTAAAGAAACAGAAGCCACTCTTATAAGATATACCACTAGTTACAATTGTGGATTTACTGAAATTAAATTGACAACTATTGTCATTTACAACATAACATTGTATAAACAAAACAATTATTTGAAAAATGAATAATTGATCTATTGAAAAAGAATCGTTTCTTGCCAACCTACATAACACAATTGAATTATCTCCAAAACCAACTCTTGTTACGGCCTACCCAGTGTTAAAGGTATAAAGAAAGTAATACCACCACAACCCAAGAGCTCTGGTGCCCCTTTCACACCAGCGCTTTTTCAGCTCCGGCTCGGAGCTGGAGCTAGAAAAGCACCGGTTTTTCCTGTTCACACCGCAGCGGCGCCGGCTCACTTCCAGCTCCAAAAAATTGTCGGTCTAGAGCAGGGGTGGCCAACCCGCGGCTCTCGAGCCGCATGCGGCTCTTTGCCTAGTTTCATGCGGCTCTTCAGTTCATATCGAATTTTATATGTGTGAGTTTGGGGGAGAGACACTGACTCCTGACCAGTAGCGTGGCGTGGGAAAAAAATTAGGGGAAGCCAATAATACGTCCTTTCTTTTGGGTCGGGGGTGTGGTGGTCAATGTAATAACGTAACCAGATGAGTGATTACAGCACCCGGTATCAGTTTACACACATTTGTATCAGATGCAGGACTTACACACGCCTGTTATCTAACCGACAGGTCCGCACGCACTCTCCAGCCCAAACTCTAATAAGCATTCACAAACTTAATCAGGAGACATTTAACGTCCGATTCACTCCTTTTTTCCTCGCTGTACACAGCTCCAGTTTGGGCATTGGCCTGTCATCAGATTGTATTTGGTGTTGCTGCTGTAGCGGAAGTTTAGTACAATTATTTTGATGAAATACTCCAAATCTCCACCCTCCATAATTGCACTTGCTTCAGTTGCTTGCTACTTTCTAACGGCGGTGAGAGTGGTGCAGTGACGCTATCTATCTTCTATCGATTAGATTTATGATTAGAAAATTATAAAAGTAGGGTAGACATGTGGATATTATCCGACTGAACAAAACTTGCATTTATCTAACAGGTTCGTTTTCCACTGACCTTATTTCGAGCTATTTTCCTAAATCCTATGGAGAAATCCCATAGCTTTTTTGTCGAGGGACACCGAGCGCAGCTTACTTCCGGATTTTAGTATGCGTCACTGCAACACTATGCGATTTGATTGGATTGTGAGGCAAGGGAAGCCAGCCGCCTCTGGCTTCCCTTGGCATGGCCCTGACTAATCACAGGTTGGCAGGGGCATCACGTGAGCCTCATCTGATTGGTCAATCCCTCCATTTGTTTTCACCAAGGGAAGCCAAATTCGGCTGGCCTCCTCTCGCAACAGTGAGTGCAATCTACTGTTTCACCATAACATCTAGAGGGGCGCTGTTTGTTTCACTCTTTGTAAAATACTCAATGAGAATGGGGGAGACGGGCCGGCAGTAACACACAGCAAAGGAGAATTATCGAAACAAAACAAAGTGTTTTTATTTATTTATTTAAATTATAACAATCCGAAAAAACAGGGGAAGCCTGGCTTCCCTTGGCCTCCGGGAGAAAACGCCACTGCTCCTGACTAGTGTTGCATAGTGTACCAATACTTGAAAGGTACCGCAATACCCTGCCGTTAAAAACGGTACGATTCCTGCGTTTCATTAGTATCGGTACTTTAAGAATGACGGAGAAAAGTACTCCGGTGAGAAAGCGCTGTTTTAATAAGAGCCGTGTGTGTTCAGCGCTCTGCTCTGCTCTGCTTCTGCTCTGCACTGCAGCCCTGCCTGCAGCCCCTCCCTTCTCAAGCACGCTCTAAGTCCCTCCCCTCTCTCATGCAGGTGCTAGCTGCCAGAGCATGTGAGAAAACGAGAAGCATGGCTGCAAGTGGGAGTGCAACTGCCGCTGCGCCTCGGCCTGTCTGTAAGCAGGGGCGGATCTAGACAAATATTCATGGGGTGGCAAGAGGGTGGCAGGAGATTTTGAGGGGTGGCATCCCCTGACAGAAGTATATGCTGATTTAAATCGCAATCATATCAATCAATTAGGGGTGTAACGGTACCCGTACTGAAATTATTCGGTACGGGCCCTTCGGTTCGGTACACGTGTGTACCGAACGAATATAGCGTTAAACGTAAAAATATTGAGAACATGAACAACTTTCTGGAAGTAATCTCAGGTATATATCATAGAGCGACCAAGTAATTTCATTGGACGAGAGGCATACTATGAGAGCTGGTCACAGGGATGCGTTCAAATGTAGTCAGTAATTTGAGGAACTGTCGAAATGGCGAACGCAGATAAAGTGGAGCTGAAAATCCTACAGCATCATTGAAGTCTCCGGTTTGGGAACATTTTGGTTTCACAGTTACGTACAAGGATGACGGACAAAGACAGGTGGACCGAACCAAAGCTGTTTGTCGGTATTGTTCAACTAACATTGGTTACGCGGCTGGCAATACATCACACTCATTTGAAAAGGCATCACCCGAATGTGAATATCACCGGTACCAAAAGAAAAAAGACTGAAGTGCAAACCCAACTCCCACAAGCATGTAAGCCTCCACCACTCGCAAAGAGTTCAGACCGAGCCAAAGCTATTACAAACGCCAAATATCCTTATGTTGCCATGCTAGCAAAGCGCTACCTGGCTGTGCTACCTCTGTCCCTAGAGAGGGTGTTCTCCACAGCAGGAGACATTGTTAGTGCCAGCAGATCTGCCATTTCAGCAAGCAATGTGGACAAGTTAATCTTTCTTTAAACAACATGAAAATACAATGACAAGCAAGTCCTAATGTCAAGCTGGCTGCTTAGGTACTATACAGTTCAAATACAGATTATTTCAGTTCATCGAAATGCTGCACCTTAATGTTTATTTTACTATATGTTGTATTTATTTGAATACATTAGTCACAGTTTAATAATAATAAAAAAATGTTTTTAATGTTTTGTGATCATTTTTTCTGCTGTACCGAACCGAACCGTGACCTACAAACGAGGTACGTACCGAACCGAAATGTTTGTGAACCGTTACACCCCTACAATCAATGTTAACTTGGAAAGCCACAATATTCATATTTTAACTCAATCACATAGGTGATATTATTGTGGCACATCAGTAAAGCCTTACATATAAGGTGGCAGATGTAATTTAATGAATTTTAACTGAACAATAACTGAATGAGTTTGTCTCACTCTTAGACCAGCAGGGGTACCAAATATATGCAGACTGCTGCAATAAGTACATTAATTAACTGTCTCATCGATGTTTGTCTGAATGAATATGATACTATTAACAATCATATTATTCCTATCAGCTGTATAAATAAATAATAAATAATAATAATAATAGATTTAATTTGTTAGCGCTTTTACAGGTGCTCAAAGACGCTTTACAGATATAGTGAAGAACTGTTATGATTCACATATTCATTTATTATTGAATAAACTATATTTATTTTTTGGAGGAGTTAATGATGAATGTTCATCAAGATGCTTGCTCACCCTCCTTCAAATTTGAAAAACAAGTAATTATATCATTATTGATATACAGTTACAACCTTGACTTTACATCAGAAAGAACAAACATTAAAGAAGTGACTAACTGCATCAGTTAGGGTTAAAAAACGTGTATTCAGATAAAACATCGCTGCAGTTATTATCCAGTGGAAGGTCCTTACCTACTGGCCTAGTTCAATCAAAGTGGTTACTTTCTGTTGGCTGGGCAGTGTAGTTTCACACACCGTCTTATTTTACTTTTTCAGGACTTAAAATTGTTTTTTGGGGGCAGACCCCCTCAAAGAAAAAAATATATACACGCATACAAGGTCATCATCTTAACAGTTTGTTATTCTCATCGAGTCATCCGTGAGCAGAGCATCAAGTTGGCATGTCTATTACAGCTGAATGCGGCGATTCCTATCTTGTTCAGCAAAACGCCTCACAAATGTATTAAGATCAACAGCTGTAGTGCGTTTTGATTCAAGCTGAGTACAGCCAAACTCTGTCAGTGTAGACCGCAAATACCTCATTCCTTCAGTCTACTTGAGTCCGAAAGGCTTCTCGTTTTGCGCCGTCCCGTTCAAATGAATTCGCCACCAATCATATTTCCACTCTCGCGCCAGGACCGGGGGAGGGGTTACATGACGTGAATCTTGTGCTGCATTCACTTGCACTCGGACATTAGAGACTTTCTCTCATAAATGTCCGATGAGCAACAACTTTTCTTTCAAAACAAAGATGCCAACTGGGGTGGCAGCTGGGGTGGCAAGGCTATTGTTTAGGGTGGCAGTTGCCACCCCATGCCACCCCGGTAGATCCGCCCCTGTCTGTAAGACATGTATTCATTTTATTTAACACGAATTCTTGTCATTTATTTTATTTATTGTTCTCATTGTTTAAAAGTTTGTGTTATGGTTATGGTTCTGGTGTGAAATAAAGCACAATAATTACATTTAAGACTGTTTCCCTTTTTTTAAGAAAAGTATCGAAAAAGAATCGGAATCGCAATTCTTGACTTGGTATCGAAACCAAAATGTTGGTACCGTGACAACACTAGCTACTCCTGACAGTTAAACCTGATATTTAGTCGGTCTGTTAAGTATCGAATGCTGATCATTCTGACGTAATTTGGCCGGTCAAAGTGGTTTGGGCTCGGATAAAATCGCTCCGTTACTTTCGTCCCGTGTTACTTTCGTCCCGTGTTACTTTCGTCCCGTGTTACTTTCGTCCCGGCTCTCCCTATGTGTGTATGTGTGGTGTCAGTATGAGAGGATGCCAGCGCGTCTAATTTTGATGTGGCCCAAGAGCCAATCACAATAATACCTGCGATGCAGTGAACCAATCACCTTTGAGGGGGGAAAACCCTATTGTTGTTTAAACATTATCCAGTGTTTCCCCTACCATTGTCTTGGAGGGGCGCTGCACCCCGCCAACGGAGCCCCGCGCACCCCCTGAAATTCAAGGTGTTTAAAAAAAAAATATATAGCACCAAATTGCAAATAATCTATAACTACTGTCACTTTTCACATTGAACATGTGCTCTTTTATTAAATAAACTAAACGCTTTCATTTCAATTTGTGAGTTTAGTGTTTTTGACCCTAAGAAACACTGATGCATTAATCAATAACAATAATCCACAGCTCCTCTCTGCTCCAGAGGTTTTAAAAATATATATCCCAATGCCACAAAAATGCATCAGTGACGTGGTTGAAATCTTGTCTCCAGAAAACAAAAACTGAAACAAGCGGTATCAGTGTGTTTGATGTGGCTCTTTGCAGTAACATAGAAAAAATGTGGCTCTTAACCTCTGACTGGTTGGCCACCCCTGGTCTAGAGGCAAGAGCTTCGGAGCTAAGAGGTGGCGTCGCTTACGTCTCTCTTACGTCGAGGCGTGCAGGACACTAAACCCACCTCCCCTGAACATGGGTCGACTGTCATGCCTGCCTACAAGCAGTAGTGCTTATAAACACACTTTATAAAGTCAGGCAACACTAACCAGGCTTCGTGTGATTCTGTTTATTTGTACCTTACTTTGACCATCCGTTCACTGTTATTGATCATTGTGGAGAGGCAGACGTGTTGTTTTGTATTATAGCAGCTATCGGATGGAATCAATACATGGGCTGCACAGGTTGTCGTGTCCGACTATCACAAGTAGAATCATAATAAAAATACGCCGGTAAAATGTGCCTGTAGAAAACGGTTTATGCCACAATAGGATAGCAATTGCAAGTAGTCAGTTTAGCTTCGGTTGCTATGCTAACATAACCCATTTTATACCAGAGAAACTTTCATAACAGCGTTGTGATACCAAACAGCGTCAATTCAGAATGACACACATTCACTTAGGCTAAGGGGAACTGGGGATATGTATCAGCTGCTTGTGTGAGTCGGACAGTGAATACTTTAGAGCGGCCGCTGCAGTGTGAGCTAACCGGGAGCTAACGGAGGAGAATAAACTCCCGTGGAAGAGCAGCCAACACTGCAGCGGTCGGTAAATGCTGCAGAAACACATTAATAAACAATGAACCACGGCACTCTGGAGAAAAGTATAAGGTTGGAGAAGTCGTTATTCAATTTATTCTGGCTTCGTGTGATTAAAAGCAACACGATCATCGACCCGACGCAGTTCCCCATTGTTGTTGTTGTGAGCACCGTAATGCCGTTGGGGAGCAAATCAGCGATGTAAACGGTGACGTCATGACGCAGCAAAGGCAGCACCAGTCGGGTGCTGGGCGGTGTGAACAGAGCGGGAGCAGAAAATGGAAACCGGAGCTGAACCAGAAAAGCTCTAGCTCGGAGCTAGAAAGGGAAAAGCGCTGGTGCGAAAGCCGCATGAATGTGGCAGTCCTAAGGTTGGAGACAATAATGGGACACCATAAAACAGGTTTAAAAGCTGAACCAGGCACCATAAATATGTACAAATAAAATATGTGTAAATATTGATTATTCTCTGAAGTGTAATTCAGTCAAATCAGTTTCACATGTTTTGAATTGAACAGTTCAACAGTTTTTTAAAGTAGCCTATTTTTTGTTATGGAAAATAAAAATAATTCAAGACCGAGCATGCCTGCTGGAGGCTAATCTTATTGTGTTTTTTGGCACTTTGGGCACTCCATACATAAACCACACGCTCTTACTTGTTTCTCCTTCAGCCAGCGTACTTTCCCAGTCCGCTGTACCCGCCTCAGCAAGGCTCATTCCCGGGGAAGCGAGAGACAGGCGGCCCTGAATCGGCGGGAGCTCCAGGGGACTGTCGGCGGCGCGCCCTCTCCTCTCGGTGGAAGAGGACTGTGGTCGGCTCCGGAGCAGACGGCTGGCGTGCACGGCGCTCAGCAGTATCAAACAAGTGATCAGGCTATCCCATAACTTCATTGTCCAGCTCAGTCTGACAGGAGGACATGGCGCGAGGAAAAATCAACAGGTATCATCTGGCAAATGTGATGAACAACATGTTGTATACGTTTGAGAGGAACATGTGGGGCGCACTCATCGGCTCGGCCGGGTTCCTGCCACTGAAAAGGCTGAAGATAAACGTGTTCGTGCCAGCGCACTGTAAACTGCACGCGATCCCTCACATGCCAGTTGGCAAACGGTGTGCAGCGTGGCGCAATATCCAAGGAGGCACGAAACCAGAGGCAGAAGCACAAAGCAAAGACTTCCCGTGAAGTTGTAAGCAAATCCAACGACGCTTATAAGAAACACATTACTCCCAGTTTACAGTCTACAGGTTTCCACTTAGCGGTTCCTGTTGGTTTCTATTGTCACTACACTCATCCCCTCTCATCATCAGTCCTGACTGAGCCGTGAGCAAAAGGAGAGGCTGGGCAGAGGTGGTGACGTCTGAGGGTCCATCCTCTGCTTCTTCCAGTCCCCACCCATGCAGAGTACACAGAGGGATGGGTCCAGGTTAATGGCTTCAACTTCCACTTCCAGTATTGGTAATGGAATAGGGGTTTTGTTATGAAAGAGGCTCAGTCTGTCCACTCAGAGAGAAGTTTCACACTTTCCACTGAATACTGCAGATTCCGTGCCCTGCTTTTGGTGTTAAATTGATACTGGATGGGAAATGTGTTTCTTATCAGCCAGTCAAAACATACTGAATTGTGTTATAACCACAGTTATTATTATTACATGTTACTTGTTAGACGCTTTTATCCAAAGCGACTTACATACTCAATACTGTGGACAATCCCCACAGGATCAATTTGGGGTGAAGTGTTTTGCCCAGGGACACAACGACATGCTGACTGCAGTGGGGTTTGAACCTGTGACCCCCTGATCCCCCTGATCCGATCACCAACGCACTAATCCACTGCGCCACACGCCTCCACATTGTGCATCAAAGCACGCTTTTTTATAGTTAATGAACACATGCCATTTAATCAAGGGACAAACAATGGTGTGAATTATCTAAGGTGAAAGTATATTCTTTGTTCAATTTATATTTGAAGCAACATGTCAAGAACAACTTGCTTAAAAGATTAATAATAACCCGTTTAAAGACATACATGGTGTTAATATCAGTGGAATTGGCAAAATTCTTCACATGTGTTTTGCGAGTGATCCTGTTAAACAAATTAAACAACTCCAAACTTCCCTTGGAAACTCAAGCTGTAAACCAGCCATTGTGGGTGTCAAAATGAAAGTCAGAACTTCACTTTACACCAAGCTGCAAATGGAAGCACATCATGGTCTCAACCCGACAACAGTGTCCTGCATTATTTAGTGAAAGAATAGGAGGCTGTAATGCAAATGTTATTTTCTTATTTATTCATTGTGACAGATCTTCTTATAATCTAATAATTGAAATTAGACAGGCTACAAGGCACACATCTCTTTGTGTTTAATAATCGAGACCAGAGCAATTATGAGTGGAAGTAATTGAGTTTATGTGCCTAATACTGCATATAAACTAAACAAATGTAAAGTTGTTTCGTGTGGCATTAACTTGTTCCATAGTGCAAGTGTCAGTCGTCAGGGCACTATGTAAGTGGCAAAAAATGAGGTTAAAGGCGGGATATGCTTGTAGAGAAAAGTAATCCATAGAGTACAGTGGGGCAGAAGAGAAAACTCAAACGAGAAGGAACAGAAACAGTGTTATGGGATTTGTTTCTATCTCTATAAACAAGGCTTAATGTGTCAAATGCTCTTTTTCCAGGATTTGTTAAAAGTTGTTTATTTTATTTTAGTCATCACAGTAGAACTTACTCACACAGCTGTATTGCTTTAATACTTCAAGGTAGATCAGGGTAAGCACAACACATATGATATGTACGATTTATATGATTATGTATACCACGTGATAATATTTGATTGAAAGTCCAGATGTAAACAACATCCAGTTCTGTTCTAATGGAGATAACCAAGCTCAATTTAATGATCAAGTGCTAGGATACTTTGAATTCCTGCTAACATTTTAAAATCCACCCTCTCTCTTCTTCCGCAGTGCTATTTGTGGATAACATGTGCTGCTGTTCCGTTGCAGACAAACCAGACAAATCTTTCCAGGAAGAAGAGAAATGTCACTGTTTTCTCTCCAGCTGCACTGAATAAGGCTGTTTTCTCTAAGGTAGTTTAACTTTACAAGATTGATTTGAAATACAAACAGTATGTCCGCATGTGTGTGTACAGTACATGTAAATGTATAAACACACATGCACTCATGCACCCTTAAAGTGTTGTGTTTGGAAATTAATCATGTTCATGTCAGTGGATGTTAGCCACACTGTATTGTAATCACCTCACCACACAGAACATGCAAAAACCATTTGAGCATCCATGTATTCTGTAACTGACAAGTCGTACAGAATAACAGTTTTCTTCCACTTCTGTTTTTAAAAGTTCGACTACTAATCACTCAGAAGAGGCTATCCTTTCCCCTGACCCACTATAACTGAATGGAAATATCTCATCCTCAAGCAATTAGACCCTCACAAGCAGAAAATACACCAAACAGATGTCCATTCTACTTCTTGCAAGGCATGAGCGGCTAACCGGGGGCTGAACTGCAATTGAATCTGTCAGCCATTTATGGGGCTCAGTTTTACTCACATGAAGAAGGGTTAATTGCACAGGTCATTTCACCCGTCATTATCGGCCAGCATGAATCTGCATCCCCCAGAGCGACTCATGTGAAGAGGGGAGTTGACAGCTGTAATAGACGTCTGATTTGGGACACTGCTGCTGGTGCAGAAATTAGCAGGGGAAAAAATGAATATCCTAAATTTCCAAGCTGTTTTTCGGGGTTGGTGATAATATCCTGTGTTCTGTTTTCTACATTAATACGTGTTTAATCTCATACTTACAGTGGAATGTGTTTTCTCTTTAGAAGCATGGCCCATTTGGTCCAGACTGAAATGTCTCAACTGCTTTTAGATGGATTGCAATGGAAATCAGTACAGACATTCATGTTCCCAAGAGGATGAACTGTAGTGAGTGAGGATAACCTGACTTTACCTCTAGCATCACAAGCAGGTCACATTCTTCCCTTATACAGAGAAATATCTTCCCAGGCAATTAATAATTGATTTGGTCATCCCATAAGTTCCCGTACGATAATGAGTCTAATGCCCCGGCCACACGAGGACGAAAACGGCCGTTTGCGTTACTGTTTAGTGTCATATAGACCATTCGGCCATACGAGGACGACCGAATACGGCACTAAACGACTGAGGAAACGATAACGGGTCCCAAGGTGGATAGAACGGCATACGCAACGCTCTGGGGGGTCCAACGGCTCTGTGTGTACGCCCTCTACGATCATTTTCTGATAATGATGAGGCAATAGCCCCACCTCTCCCCACCTTTGCTGCTCACCCCCGCGTCAAAGTAAACTGCACACTGAATTCAGATTATTTATCTTTCTCTCAATATGGACATAAACGCGAGTGAAGTCTAATCTGACAGGACGGAGACACGCAGCTCTGCTCACCTGCAGCTCTTCCCGCCGTGATGCAGCGGTGAACGGAGTAAAACACACACTTCAAGTCAGATCATCACCCTTAGCTATTTTATTTATTACCTCTCAAACTACCTAAACTAGTTATAAATATGTTTATTTTTACTGTCGGCCGAGTCACTCATTACTGGATCAGCTGCTGCATGAAACAGCGACACTGGCGCGCTGTCCGAAGAGAGGGAGGAAAAAGAGAGGCTCCATGTATTTTATTATTATATTATATAGAGTCGTTATTCATTTGTTTTAAATCTCAATAAATAACAAAGAAGACCTTTGACCGGCACTTTTATAATTTTGTCGGAAGATTTAAACTTTAATACACGTTGACTGGCGAAAAACTCTGCCCGGTTCCCTCGGCCCCAACAGAATAAACAGAAGGGCAACCATGACAACCATGCTTCTTCGCTGCTTTTGTGGAGGAAGTTACAGCGCCACGTACAGGCTCCTGCATATGTACTGCAGCTTCTCCAGCGGTTGGAGCTAAACGGAGCGGTCTCGTGTGGGCAGACACCATCCGGATAACTATTGCGTGTGGACGGAAGCTTGTTTGCGATTGCGTTTGCGTTCATCCTATGCGTTTAGCCGTTTTCGTCCTCGTGTGGCCGGGGTCTAAAGTTTATGTTTTTGACAAAAATGTCTAAATAGATATTAAAATAATTGCCTCAAAATGTGGTACTCGCATTTATGAATCTGATTGATTTATGGCTCGAATTTTTCAAAACCACAAACATTCTAGTCATCTTCAGCTTTTTGTGGTTAGCACAATCATTTGTGTAAGACATGTTAAAAGGCACAGTGGTAAACATTAACCAGCTAAACATCAGAATGTAAACATTGTCATCATAAGCAGTACAGCTTAAAGGTTAAAGCACTGGTGTGTTTGATTAAGGCCTCAGTGAGCCACTAGCGTGTCTTTAGACTTTTAGTCTTCTTTTATGCTAGGGAGATTTATATCAGTTTATTAATTTTCCCTGCAGCTGCCAGGGGTTATGGCTTGGTTGGGGCAGGAAAACTGCTTACATTAACCCCAAAGTGAACTCTAAATGGTCAACTCATATTAATTTAATTCAGGATGTGAAACTTTCAATTCTAAATTAAGATTTAGAATTTAAAGTTACCCAAAAAATAGAAAATTACCATAAATGATCAACTAGTTATGAGCAAATCAACTTGTCATTAACCTTGATGGACTTAACTCGTAAGGGCCGATTGTCGAACCTCAGATTGAGGAGGAACAATGCGGATTCCGTCCTGGTCGTGGAACGACGGATCAGCTTTTTACTCTCGCAAGGATCCTGGAGGGGGCCTGGGAGTACGCTTATCCGGTCTACATGTGTTTTGTAGACTTGGAGAAGGCGTATGACCGAGTTCCCAGGGAGTTACTGTGGGAGGTGCTGCGGGAGTATGGGGTGAGGGGGTCTCTACTCAGGGCCATCCAATCTCTGTACTCCCAAAGCGAGAGCTGTGTCCGGGTCCTCGGCAGTAAGTCGGACCCATTTCCGGTGAGGGTTGGCCTCCGCCAGGGCTGCGCTTTGTCACCAATCCTGTTTGTAATATACATGGATCGGATTTCGAGGCGTAGTCATGGGGGAGGGGGTCTGCAGTTCGGTGGACTAAGGATTGCACCACTGCTTTTTGCAGATGATGTGGTTCTAATGGCTTCATCTGTCCTGCGACCTTCAGCACTCACTGGATCGGTTCGCAACCGAGAGTGAAGCGGCTGGGATGAGGATCAGCACCTCCAAATCTGAGGCCATGGTTCTCAGCAGGAAACCGATGGATTGTCCACTCCAAGTAGGGAATGAGTCCTTACCCCAAGTGAAAGAGTTCAAGTATCTCGGGGTCTTGTTCTCGAGACACACACACACACACACACACACACACACACACACACACACACACACACACACACACACACACACACACACACACACACACACACACACACACACACACAACACACACACACACACACACACACACACACACACACACACACACACACACACACACACACACACACGTATGACTTGCATGGATGAATGCCGCCACTAGTGGACACTGTTTACCATTTATATTTACTGATGTCAATGTACATAGTAATGGTAAACATGTACAGCATTAAACACCTCAGTGTTGACAACCGAGAGTAAAATGTTCTGTATTTCCTTTTTTCTTGTTTAACTTACAGAGTTGAAATGAATTCAGAATTCTATATTTTGTCTATGATTTGTTATGACTGAAAGTCCTTATGGTTGAAGTGTGACAGCAAACAAAAACCACTGATGCAAGTGAGGAATAAAATCAATGTATCTTGATATTTTTAATGATCTTGTAGTGTGGTGAGAAAGAACAAATTAGTTCCCCCAACATCCCAAAATCCTGTCACATGCCTATGACTTCCGACTGTTGTTCTTCTCCTTGAGAGGGACAATTTTCTAAACCACCAGTCTGGTTTATTAGCTTGTTTTAAAAATAGAAAAAAACAAACATTTTAATTAATTTACAAGGCTAATCAGAATTTTACCTTGTGATTCCCTTTTATTTTTGAGTGAGTTCCCCAGAAAAGTAGATGGATGGTCTGGTTGTTTGTATGATAATGTTAGATATATGATTTTGTTTGTGCTTTGGCTGCCTGCATCTCTTTGTCCAGTCTGTGCGATTATGTGTTTGTCCAGGAGATGGAACCAGTGAGTTTGTTCATGCAACAACGTGACAATCATCTCAGACACTGCTCTCAATGAATAGTTGTGTTACATCGTGGAAATCCCCCAAAGCTTTTGTGCTGATCTGACTGAGTTTTTACAAGTTAAATCAAAGCAGGAAGTCTTGTCGCTGAAATTTGGTCCTATGAGTAAACATGTTTTTATTTTACAACTACATGGTGACAACACAATACACATCAGTTATGCTAAATAATTTTCTTTTGTTTGAACATAGATGAGCTAGAAATGTAATTTAGATGATACAATATGACAATGGGATCCTGCTCCATTGAAGTCAAAATACTAAATATTTCACCAAATACAACTTAAAAACAAACAAACAGAGGATTTAATTGATTTAGGGCATATTTTAAAATTGTAACTTAGTCTTTGCCAAAATCAGCTTATATTATTTGACACAGGGTAGAGTTTTCCAAAAACAGTAATGATGTTTTTTCTCACAGTATTTCCCTCTGACCTCTGCAGATGCTTATCCGGCTGTTTGGGTCATATTGTGTGATTGTTTGATAATTTCAGGTGAAGAAACTTGAATAATCAGATCACATTATGCCTCTGTGACCCAGAGAGTTTATGATAAATACAATTGACAAATGCGAGGAAGGTTGGAATCAAGTTGAAGAGAAATTATGTATTTTCTGCATAGTGCAATAAGACTAATATCGTGTTGTATTTGTTCTAGGTCTTTGATGATGATTGGTGGCATGATTCTTTTGGTTTCTTTTTTTATCTTTTGACAATCTGATAGATGCATGACATGAAGGAAAACACATGTTTGTAATCTTTAAATAGAGTATTATTATTTAAAATGTGTTTGTCTTTAACGCAGATTTAGGATTAGGTGCTTATTGATGCACACTAGTTATAACTTCTCCCATGAAGATGTATTTTTATACTGTGATGGTCATCGCCTGTTAGTTTACCAGCATCATTGATGAATGCATCAACAGTGACAGATATCCTTAAAGCAGCTTACAACTACATTATACTGAGTGCTATTTATTACATTTTACATTGCATGGTTAACCGCTGCTATTGGTGCATGCGTCTGGAATGAGAGTTAAATTGTAAAGCAGACTATTGAAGCAATTTACAATTTTACAAAGGGGATCATAAGGAAATGTCATTGTTATGTCACACCCTCACTCATGATAATAAAGTCATATACTTTGATACGTCTTACTTACATTTCACCTTCACTCAGTCCTGGCCTAATAAAATCATTCTCCCTAACAAAACATGCTGGTACAATTTGTACTGTAATGACGAAGTCTTTATGAAAAGGACTATAAGGAACATGTGAAGCTACCTTAGGGGTCTCTGCACTAGTTAATATTATATTTTTAGTTTTAAAGACTTACAGTAACTAATAATGTGGGTCTCTAAATCTTTTCTTCTATCAATAATAACGAAAATGAGGCAGATTTTTGCAGGACAAGTGATGGATGAAGTGCACTTTCACAAAGCCTGAGAAAATATGCCCAATCATTGCCAGGTATAATTTGTGTGTGCATTGTTCCCAGTCGTCTTTCACTCTCCTTTTCTTTTTCTAGCTACTTGATAAGAAAAATGCCTCTGAAGTGATTTGGCTGAGCACTCCTGCAAACACGGCTCTCTCTCTCTTACACGCACACGTGCACAAGTGCACAACACTCAAATAGCATTCATTTCAAACAAACGGTATGTCATTATAGAGACTTAAAAAACATTATCAGTAAAGAGTCGCAAAATAATCAGTACAGCAATGTCTTTGTGGGACATTAATTAAGATTGAATTGTTTTGCCTTGTTTAGTAATTGTTACACACCGCCCCCCCCCCCCCACACACACACACACACACACACACACACACACAACACACACACACACACACACACACACACACACACACACACACACACACACACACACACACACACACCGTACAGTTACTCTGCTTCTGCGTCTTCATGATCTCCATCTGTGTCCGTTGGGCGGATTAGAGGCTTGTTATCCTCTTAGCTCTAAATGGCCCTACGTTCCTGCATTCCGCTGTCCGTCTCATCTGCTGTCTAAGAAGCGGACCTGAGCGTGACAAGAAAGCGAGATTCATGCTTAAAAATGATCGAGCCCACTATTTAGTTGTTTTAGTCATTGCGCATTACGCGCGACTTGTCGGGACAACCCTCTCTATCGTTTGTCAGCGCGCGTGGGGCACAGTGGATGTCTGTCCGTCCGTCCGTCAATGTGTCCAACCCACTGATCTTTCGTAGACTGTAATCTTATCAGTGTCAAACCGTACCTGCCTTTTCCTCTCGGGCAGTTTCTGTCTGTCTTCGAGTGGCATTTGCAAGACAAATCTGGATGAAAAAACGATTTTGATCAGAGAGAAACTTTATTATCACAGAGGTCTGTTTTTATTTACTGCTACAGGCGCGTTTGCATGTGGGATAAAATGATAATTTGACCGTTTTAAACTTTCGACCTGCAGAAGACATGGGATCTAAAGAAAGGATTCTGTTACTTCTCTTCGCAATATGCACAGCCAACGTGTGCCTTTGTGCAAGAAAATCAAGTGCTCGGAGATCTGGTGAGTTTACCTGCTGACCTTTATTCCACATTTGACATGGTGTAGTAAATATCATGATAATCCTTTGTATTGAAACATTGTGGATCAGGGCAGAATTTGTGTGTGTTCATCTTTCCATTTGTTTGATTACTCCAGTATCATAAAGCCAGCTTTTGAAATGATTTTTCAGTACATGAAAAATACAATTTAAGCCTTCATTCCCAAACATCTACGTGACTAATTTAAACTTTAAAGTCCTTTTTATTGTGATAAAAGCTATACAATATGAACATTGCTGTTCAAAACAAGCCCTTCCACTTAACACCCCTGTTCATAAAAGTGATAATTCTACAACAAAATCTACAGTTTAGCATGTTACTTATAGACCATTTAAAGAAGTTCCCCTCACTTTTGTACGATGTAATTGTAACACATTATATGTTCTGATACATTTTAGGCAGGAACTTGTGACTTAGAGGAAAATAAAAAGGATATAACGTGGTAACATTTTGACTAAAACACATATTTTAGGGATTCTCCCAGATATGAAATGTTTGTCGAATAAAGACAGGGAAGTATCCAGCTTTGGATAAACTGCATACAAAGGAAACTTGCCAGTGGATGTTGATGTGTCCTTCCCACAGTGCCTTCTCTCTCCTCCACCCTTTTCTGATATCCTGTCACCCTGTACACTTTTTCCGTCACAGTTTCTTCCCTTTCCTCCCTCTTTCCTTCTTTCAATCACTTCCTTTCTCTCTCACTGTCAGTCTATCTGATGTATTTCTCCCTCAGCCTAAGACCCACAGGCTAACTATCACATCTGTCTGTCAGCACAGACTCACCACAGTGGGGACTGCTATACAGTGGACGGCTGTGGTTCTGTCTCTATGACCTCCAGTGACATTTGTACTTGTTTTTTGTTTGTTTTTGAGGTCTCTCAGGCTTCCTTCTGAGGGACGGGGAGTTGGGGGTGTCAACAGGGCTAGATGTCCAGATGAATCACATCAGCCTTTACACAACAAAGCTGATAGCACTAGGAAAGAGTTAAGATTGAATGACGTCTTTCCCCGAGATTGTCTTACTTTTGCCAGATTTTGACAGCCCTCTCTGGAATTATTCTGAAAGACAATGAATCTTTCTTTCATATTATACAAGGCATTTTCACCTTTATTTGAAAGAGTAAAAAAGCGGGGAGAGAGAGGAGTATTACAAGCTAAACAAACGTCCCAATGCTGGAATCAAACAAAGGACAACATGGTAATGTAGCATCCACTTTAAACACTGCTACCAAGGAGCTCCAAAACAATGACAATATATAATTTATTTTTCAGGAGATGACATTTCCCAGTTAATCCTGTCAGATTCAGTTTACATTTCATTCAAATATCTTATATCCTTCCCTAAGCCATGCTGAAGGGCAGCACATGTCTTGGTGGATGAAACAGACCTGGAAGCAGTGTTTTTTCACATGACTGACTTCAAAAGTGGAGCCGGAAAATCAGAGTCAAATGTGCAGGTGCTTTGCTCCAAAAGATGTCTGGCTGCCACTCAATGTCTATGTGTATTTGGTTCTAGAGAGCCAGAGAGTACCTGCAGCCAATCGGTAAACAAAATCCTGCGACTCCTGTGTCATGTTGACTTATGTTACAAAGAATTTCTTTCTGTCTGTAAAACATGAAAATGCTACTGACCACTGGAAAGTGTAATTATTGCATCCACACTTCAGCGTAACAAGGGATTTCAAAGGAAACACCTCAGAGTGGTAGTTTGACAACCTGGTGTGTTGAATTTTGGGATGGCCTGTAATACTGTACGTGTGTTCCTTGATGTGTTCTGCATGAGAGGATGCAGATGTTTTTATTTAATTGTTTTATCAAGAGAGAATGACAATGTTTTGGTAGCTGACAGTGTGCTCTCTTGTGGCCATTTTCCAAACAGTGTGTTTATACTGTACATTGTAGAAGTTTGCACCTCGCATAACCTCTAAAGTCTGGCCTCTCCTGTCCCATTCATGTACGAGGGCAATGCACCCATTAGATTTGACCATTCAAGTGGGGTTTCTGGGTGGTACGGCCAAGTTGAAGACTCAGTAGCAAAAGCAGCTTATGTGGCAACTATAACAGCATAAACAGTACCTTGAAGAGTAACCAAAAACAAGGTTGACGGAAAATAATTCTGTCCCTCACTCATGGTCAAAAGCTTAATGTACCCAGAGCTACCTTGAAGCACCATTGTAAGCTGCTGTACTCAGAGAATACCCTGGAACAATCAGATAAAACAAACTACAAGTGTGTGTCTACAGAAGGTCCAGTTGTGATAGACATGGTTCGCCACTGATGATCATGTACATACAAATAATGATTTAAGCATTTCTTTCTCCATCAACTCTTATTCTGTGAGTTCAGCTCACCCGTACACATCCCTGGGGAGATATGGATGATCAGGGAATACAGCTGACATATTGAATTACCCGCTTGGATGGAAGAGCAGGGGAAAGGGTTCGATAAAGCAGAAGAGATGTTCAGTGTATTTAGGAGAGAGGTCGGCTTAGGAAGTAGAAGAAGGGAGTCACAAGAAATAAAGAGGAGAGAAACAGGAAAATGGAAAAGAGCAACACTGTAGCTACATGATATTTCAATTTACAGAGATCTGCCTCCTACATTAACGTTTGTTTATTCCTCGTGTCAGTGTATACGAGGGACTTCTGTCCTTTTGTCAACTAGACCAGATCAGGACATATACAAGTCTACTCTAATAAGGTGATAAATAAAAAAGAAAGGTGTTTAGCTATTTGTATGCTGCATTTTCACGTAGCCTCTTCATTGTTTGAATGTAGCATGTGTTTGTGTAAATGGTATGACATAAAGTGCATGACTGCGAGGCCATAAGGGTCCTTGTCTGCTCCTCTATCTCTATTAAAGCCAGGTGATGAATATACAGCAGGTCATCAGAGGTGTTGATGATCTACTCCTCTATAGCCCGTTCTCTTTCTTCTTCGTCTTCAAGAGGGTTTTCAGGCCGCAGTCTGAAATGACAATCTCTTGAAGTGTCACACAAACACCCAGGATTTTAATAACTCCAAACCAGGAAGATAATGACATATGAAGCGAGTCAGTTGATATTAGAATCCCCCCCAGAGAGCTATGGGTTATGCCATTTAAAAAAAATCCTTTTGTAACTCTAAAAAAAGGTAAGGTAATGTTTATGTAATCATTGGCTATTTGAAAACCTTTTGCCAAAGACCTGCTTTTGTTCAAACCTCATGGTGGTATTGACAAAGCATTTATATATAATCGACAGGCAATTCGGTCGCAACTGAAAGTAGTATTCAATATATATCATCTTCACAAGTTGTAGGGTGAAGGTTGTAAATATAAATTAAAATGTATTTTTATATTTATGAAACCTCCCCTGACACTTTGCACCATTGTTATCATCAGAACAAGCTGTGAACATTTGCATTGATGAATGTTAGCAACAAATAAATTATATATAATAAATATTAGACATTGAGCATACAGAGTAACACCATCATTTATTTTGACTTGAGTTTCTTTTTGTGGGTTGTTTAGAGCATCCTTTGACACATTAGCAGATGATTTGGTGTCAGGAGCAGCACCTTTCACATAATGATCCACTGTTAACATTATATTATATATATCATTTATTTATTTTAAGGATGCTGAGATGCTTAATTTGCTCATTCTATGTTTCATTGGTCAAAAGCTGCCATGTAAATCAAACAGTCTTGTTCAATAATCCATCAGCACTAAAAATCAAATGAACAATTTGATCACTTGCGCTTTTATTTATGTTTTCTGTTGCCCTCACTGATTTTGTCTCTGTGTGTATTTGTTAGATCGCCTGAGTCCTCCATTAGACATCCAACTGGAGACAGTCAACTGCACCGCCTTTAGTGTACGATGGAAGATGCCCCGGCGACACGTCAGCACCATCACCGGATACAAGGTAGTCACAGAGCATGTCTTTTACATTAAATAATAACACAGATATTTTAGTATTGTATGTATTATTTTTACATATTGTTTAATTTGGTCCAAAAGGGAGATGCTTGATACAATTTATATCAGGGTTTCCAGCAGTGATTTCATTGTGATGGCTTCCTTGCTGGGTACCACCATAGATATGGGTACCATCCACACATGTAAATGTGAATCACTACACAGAAAAACTGCTAAACCAAAAGGAAAATAAAACATTTAGCTTTACAAACAGCGGGCTTAAAATCCTGCCCTTCAAACTCCTTTTCAAAATGCATTGAAAGGTTTTCAACCTGGTAAACATAAAAAGAACCTCTCGGATATGTCATAAATCATTTTGCCTCTCTTTCTTCTAAGCCAATGCCCATTACCTCTGCAAGCCTTTCAGTTGGGGCCCCCATCTTTTATAAAGTGCCTGTCAAATACACTGTCCAGCAAGATGGCCTTGAGGGCTAGATTGATATTTCAACATTTCTTGTGTTTTAAAGGAACCCCTTCACTTTGGATGTATGCTTTTAAGGGGGCAATATAGCTATGAAAGATGTCACAAATATTTGTTTTAGCGTTTTGTCAATAGATGTTTTGCTCCGCTCTGTGCTTCGAGTACTAAAGTGTGATTTGTTTTCTTGGTAGAAACATATAGTAAATATATATTTTATGATATGCAAAGGCAGGTCAAGAGATTGTGTATAGTCGGTGCACTAATTGACAGGATGCTGAATAGAAAAAGGAGTACCACTTTTCTTTTTTTACACAGTCATTACTTCTAAGAGCCAATGTTCTCTTATACGTACATTTAAAAAAAATAAAAATCTTTTGAATGAGATATTATGCCCTACTAACTTCCTTCCTTCCTTCCTTCCTGCCTTCCTTCCTTCCTTTATTTTGTTTGTTTTGAGTCAACCATTACCAAAAGTGTGGATCAGTACGAGTGTTGGTGTGTGCTCTGCTTTTGACCATATGTCCGCACTAAGAGGATTAGCCAGCTACCTAGCTTCCCCAATGCTCTAAGATCAACGTATGTGTTCATTTAACCAATCACTTTGGAAATCATTGATGATCGGGTTTCCTCACAGTTTTTTCCCCATATCTATTAAGAAACCATGACTTCATACTGGAAGAGGTTAAACAAAAATGGTGCTTTAATCCAAAATAGCAAACATGATATTTATGAATGTCAAATCCAACACTGACAGAATAGGTTAGATTTGTTATGAAATAATATGAATCTGGACATTTTTCATATACAAATATAGCTTTGTATGCGTCTTTTTCGTTGACAATGTGTGTGGGTTTTTCAGGTTTTCTACACAGAGATGAGGAATGGTCGTCCGATGGATACAGGGTCTCTGATGGAGGTGCCTCTCAACTTGGACATGCTGACCACTGTGAGCACAATGACTTTAAACTTTAAAGAGCATCTTATCTTTAAATCAGTGGTGAACATGCTATAGAGCATGGGTGTCAAACTCAAATACACACTGGGCCAACATTTAAAAATGGGTACTAGTCGAGGGCCGGACTGGTTCAATGTTTATTGCAAAACTTATTGAAATGAACGTATTGCACATATTAAACCTGGAACTAACAAAGCTTAAATTATTGCCTATAAAAACAACATAAAATAATCAGTTGCATTCATTGCTTATGGCTCTATCAGAGTCATTTCTTATGATTACATTTTTCCACAGGCCAACAACAGCTTCAAAAAAACAATTTCCCTCAAAGAAAAAAACAAACATGCCCTGTTGTCGCAAGAAGAAAAGTGCAAAAGGAAACATCCATTGAAACTCAGTGTGCTGCTCTGTGATGCTAGTTCAAGCCAGATACTTGGCATCTCATCTTGGGTGCAAGTTCATCAATGTTTGGGGTCAGGCTCTGAGCTGAGGAAACCCTCAGGATTGAGTGAAGGTGTGCGTGCAATATACCGGCGGGCCAGACCTAATAGTAATTAAAAATTATCCTGCGGGCCGAAATTAAATCCGGGCCTTGAGTTTGACACATGTGCTATAGAGTATCCCAATTGTATTCACCACTCAACTTTGATCCATCTCTAACTTCCACTGTGGGAATTATCAGCTGTGGTAGCCAACAAATCTTTGCAGAGCTGCTTTATCATTGCATGAAGAAAACATGCTTCAAAAACACAAAACCCCTCCCCAGAAAAGATAATAAAAAACTCTTTAGCCAAAGCCTGACTCATTGTATCCCTCTCTAAGTCTCTCCTCTATGCCAAAGAGCTCCTTTTTCTTCCAAACAACTATAGAAAACACATGAATTATTCCCATAGTGACATGTTGCTGCATTATTGTGAACATGGACACTGATATATATTTAAAGTTGATCCCGCATTGTCCTGCTACTAGAACACCAATTGTGTGTTTATCTGCTGCTGAAAATATTTATGCGCAAATGCCCTGTTTTCTGTTTTATTGATATATAAAAAATTGCAGAGCCCAGTTATTTTGGAGAACTATTTGCTTTTTTATAAAATACAACTTTGTACTAACTAGACCATTACATTCCCCATGTTTCACATATCACTAACATCAAGTTGAATATTAGAATGTTTTGGACCTGCAATTACATCTGTCATAATATCTGCCGCACTGATACACTTAAACATTTAGGTAACCCTCTGCTCTTCTTTTCTCCAAAGGGCCAATTTGAAGGACAAGCAAGCTTTGTGAGTATTATTTTCTCTTTTATAACAAACTAAATTGGACTGGTTTATTATCAAGCTTGACATTTACAGCTGTATTTGAACTACTTTCCACTCGGAAAATCTCAAATATTAAATTATTTGTTATTTAGTCTTTCGTCCTCTTCCACCATCTTCCCCGAACTATCCTTGATGCGATCTTAATCCATATCTGTCTTTTTCTCTACTCTACCACTCTCACATTTGTAGGATGTGGAGATCAGTAATCTTAAAATGAACACTAAGTACAGATTGACAGTCGGAGCGTATGGTTGGGCAGGGGAAGGCCGACCCAGCATGCCTAGAGACATCAGCACTGCCACACATGGTAAGAATATGTCGTAGTGACTTCATTTTACAGCTGATTCTAATGTTCCTGCAATGGTGTATTGTTAATATCTTCTTCTGAATTCAATTTCTCTCTGTACAACTAGATAAGTGCATGCCCCCATCACCCCCCACTCAGCCTGTCGTCATGGCTGTATCTGACACTGAGCTGGCGTTGTCATGGCAGCAAGGAGAGAGCGAGGGAAGCGCACCTGTCCTTCACTTCCTGGTGGCCTACATCAGGTAAGTCGTTACAAAACTCAAAGAAACATGTAATGAAGCTTGATGTTTATAAAACAAGCCCATTTATTTCAAATCATATCACTCATTTATAGTCTTCAATGGTGGATATTGCTATTGAGATAGGCCAAACTGCACCTACTACTACGTTGTTAAATTGGTTGTTAAAATGACAGGTTAAATAATTAAATCACACATGTTAAAGTTTGAAACGTAACGTTGTGAAAAAGAAACACCCAGACATTGTTCGTACCACAAGATGCAAACTACTTGGTGTGAGTCCTGTGTTTTGTGTCTTATCGATAGCACAACTTTCACCCCTCATGGTGTTTTTAGTTTTTAATACTAAGTCAACTGACTTGGCCTTTGCTCCTGTCATAGATTTTATAGTGGCTACAGGTCGGTTTCATCTACTTGTATTCCTTCTTTTGGTCATCAACCGTCTGAATAGTTCATAAAACCAACTTTTTTTCAGAAGCAGGCACCTTCTAACCTACATCTATAAGATAACAAATATCTGATAATATTCTAAATGGGTGACCTGCCTCTTGCGACCTCACCATCAAAGTGTTGCTGCCAGAACTCACACTAACACACATTGGCAGGTTTATAGATTTGCAGATGCACTTAGTTACATTCAGGTTTCACACAAACACTAACCCCAACCCATATAGACACTGACGTGTCCAAGTCACAGAGGGAAAGAACGGCCTTAAGTAAAAAGCCTTGTATCATAACTGGCTGTGGGAGGAAAGGGAATAGGCTGACTGGTTTGATCTTCATCGTCATTCTCTTAATTGATAAGCCGTCTGTCTCTGGATAAAACTGAACGAAGACCACCATTCTGAGAGGTTATTTTGCAGAACAAATACTCTTAGGTATTTTCTACAACCATACAGATAGTACATAGTCATCATGCCAAGGTATCCAAGGATACTAAATGTAAAACATTTTCTAAGAAGATGGGTTTGGGTATGGATTAAACAAACTAGAAACAACATTTTTGTCCTTTGGGCTTTAGTTTCAAATCGTATAAGCAGAGCAAAAGCAAATAAGTGAATTGACAATATACAGAATACACAATGGCTACACGAAAATTTAAAAAAGCTTTTTTCCAAAAAGCTTTCTCTGTAAAGCTGCTGCACATTCAGCCTTCTTATTCAGACCATCTGCAGACACTCATCACTCGTCACATTACTACAACACAGAATACAAAGATCCTTTTAACACTGAATTTCGTGAGGCCTTTGCTGGTCTGCTTAATCTAATCACTTGTGTTTTGACATGAGGATCAGCTGGGACCCGAAAAATAAGGAATTTCATTTTCTGACCAGCCTCACACTCAAACAAAAGTACACACACAACACCACACACACACACACACACACACACACACACACACACACACACACACACACACACACACACACACACACACACACACACACACACACACACACACACACACACACACACACACACACACCGCACCACTGGAGGACCGCCACTGTCTAGACAAGTCTTCAGGCTAAAAATTCAAGGAAGTCGGATAATGATCCTCCTTGTCCTCTGTCTGATTGCCAGACCATAATGAAAGAAGAGAGATAAAATGTTTAAATGCCTCCGTAAGAAAAATACAAATAAACAGAAAACAGTTCTAAAGATATAAGACGAAACTAAGTTAAATCACAATAGTGTTGCCTTTTGCAGTAGAGAGTTAACTCCAGACTGCGTAAAGAGAGCGGGACAAAGACAGAGAGACAGAGGCAGAGAAACTGTCACTTACTGTGACAGCGTAGACATGAATCAGCGTCTGTGTTTGCATGCAGGCGCTTTTTCAATACAAAAGGGCCTTATCAGAGGCAAATATTTCTCCCCCTACTTCAAAAGAGGCCTTGCTGAAGAGAGACAGTGATTGGTGGTGAAGATGACTCTGTTCAACAGATAGCCGTGGCTCCAGGCGCAAAGAATCAGCACCAAATATGGCAGCTGGAGATGATAGGCAGAATAAATTAAGTTCAGGAGTTCATCATTTTGTTTTTTTGCTCTACTTTTCAAAACAATGCTCTGATTAAAGAAAAAATAAGAAAGCTTCTAAAGAGCCTTAAAAATAGTAATGTCTCTCTCTTTTGCGACTTTGAATTACTTAGATCTACAGTCTCTAGTTATTGTTATATTTGCAAACACTTATAGACTTTTTCAAGGAAAACAAAGATAAATATCAACATCGACATCGTCGTCGTCATCATCTTCATCATCATCATCATCATCATCCTCAATACAATCACTTTTAAGATGTTTTGAGAATTTTTGTCAAAAAATAATTATTTGTGAAATGTCATAAGGAAGTGTTTGTAATTGCAACATTTTTGATAAATTAATCCCAAATCATTTATTTTGTGTATCTTGTCGTTCACAGGCCAGAAATGGACACTGAGTGGACATATATCCGTGAGCCCATTGAGACTAACTCCATGGTTATGAAGGGGTTATTACCGGAAACAGAGTACCAGTTTGTCGTCAGGGCGACCAACATGCACGGAGTCAGCCCACCCAGCAACATCAACAACCCCGTGCGCACTCTCGGTAAGAAAAAATGTGATCTTTGAGCCAACGTGCTGTGACGGCCAGGAAAGCTCGCTCGTTAGTCTGCTTTCAACCACATTTCAAAGCAAATTGAACAATACACCCACACTGAACTAAACAGACTGTGGTTATTTTTTCACCAAAGCTATACAATGTTCAACCACTATGTAAAACCCCAGCATTACAGTGGAGAAGAATCTTTTCTTACTCACTGCGCTGGGAAGCAATGAAACTTGGAAATGATTTTAATACAAATAGATGCATTGATTATAGTGAGCGCCAACATGTAAATATGATCTTAATAACTTAATTCAGTATTGCTTTATTATATAGACAGTTTCTTACCTTTGCTCACTTACCAAATCCTAGTCTAGCTTTCTAAATGAAAACATTGAAGCTGGTAATTAAAGTAAATTATGTTAAAGTCTCATCACATATTATCCCACAGTGTAATATTCGGAAATCTTGCCATTTTAGATGCTTTTTCCAAATGTCTTTAGATGTTAAGATCTCCGGCTCAGGAAACCTTGGAATAAATAAAATATATTCTATGAATTTTGACACAGAAACACATTTTGCCTCCCTAAGTTTGGATTTGGGACAGCACCTGACAGCGTGAGAGTCTGGGATGATGGAGATCAACGGATTCATTTACATTATTATATTTGCTGTAGTCAGCTGCTGGTGATGGGGATGGGTGAGAGACGGTCAGCACAGATTGATATTAAAACACACACGCACATTCACACAGGTGTGTACTTCATATACACACACATACAAGCAATGTCCTAATGCTTTAGGGACCATGACATTCAAACAATGTACTTAAAGACGTGAAGGCATAATGTCATGCTCTGTGAGAGTGGATGCTTCTTCATGTCAGACTATTGGGAGTAAAGTCAAGAGGACTATTCATCAAATAAATCAAACAGCCATGTAGACACAATCACATTATCCAGACTTTTTTCTGTGACCTACAGACCTCACTGCTCACTCGCTGCATGTGGGCGGGCGGCTTGAGCGTCACACGCTATTAGCTGTCAACTGGTGTAAACTACTCTGATTAAATTAAGTGCCCTAAGTCCTGCTAGACTGCTCTGAGACACAGAGACAAAGCTACAAAGCCACACAGCAAGGGAGGTAATGATAGAAGGAACTTGTAAGGAATAATGTCAATGAAAGTTACATGAAGCCAAATCAGATAAGGCGGTTAGACAGACATACGGACAGACAACAACGAAGAGATGGAAAAGCGTGGTTCCTTAGCGGGGGATAAAAGCGGGTTACGCTCGATTCTCATCAGACAGGATTAAGGACGGGATGCCAGACCCCTTCCCTGCCAATGCACAGCTCTGATCAATGCACACACACACACACACACACACACACACACACACACACACACACACACACACACACACACACACACACACACACACCACACACACACACACACACACACACACACACACACACACACCACACACACACACACACACACACAGCACACACACACACACACACACACACACACACACACACACAATGCTCCGCAGCCTGATCGAACAGTGGGGGTGGGCTTGACTGACTGACATACTTTTCTTGTCGCTCTCTCTATGACAGTGTTTATGTGTGTGTGTTTAAGTGTGTGTGTGTGTGTGTGTTTATAGCAGTTTGAAACAGGGTATGGACTGAGGGGGATTGTTACACAACAGAAGATTAGTGGAGGGCTTTTTTGGGTGCCCCCCCCCCCCCTCCCTGTATGCCAGCAGTCAGTATTCAGGATTTAATGTTATTAGGCTGTGCTAATTGGCTCTTTAAATCTTGATATCCATTAAATAGTCAAGTTTCTTTGAGATCTGAGAATGTTAAACAGTTTATTTTGTTGTATAATTATGATGTGATTCAATCCATAACTACAAATTATATTTTAATTCCCTAACTTGCCACACACACACACACACACACACACACACACACACACACACACACACACACACACACACACACACACACACACACACACACACACACACACACACACACACACACACACACACACACACACACACACACACACACACACACACACACTTAATTTTCTTAACTGTTAAAACCTGTTTTAAACCCCGAGCCTGTTTTTCAGGTCTGGCTCGAAAATGACATTCCCAGAACAAATGACCATATCTTCCCTTCTAAAAGGGTTACATTAATAATCTTTTTTCTCAAAGCAAGGTTACACCTGTGAGTTGGATGTAGAAGTGTCAGAATCAATATAGATGTTTTTATTTTAAACTAAATTCAGATTGAACACAGTTCTTTGGGGCTTTGGGGCTTCACAGGTTGTCAATGTAAAAATTACATATTTTCTATTGTCCAACACCAAGTATATAAGATAAGATAGATTTTTCAGCCTTTTCAACATAATTAATATTTTCAGCAATACAGCATAAACATTTGGCAGCATATATAAATATAATTTAAAAAGGAAAAACACATGATAAACACACATTTTGTTGTCTGTTGTCTTTCTAAATAAATATTTGAATGAAGTAATAACAATTTAACATGTCTTTTATTTATCTTAACCTAAACCACACCAGCTAAATCTTTATAGGTTTATTAAGCAATAATATTTGTGCAGCTTCAGCTAGAGCTACTGACCAAAAAGGACCCAGGTGTCATGCTATGCTCACAGTACTCACTGTCTGCTTTTGTCTTTGTACCTTATGAGCAGCCGTTGTGTATCGAGGAGACACGTTTCAGTACGTGGTGCCGCGGCCTGGCTTCAGGCGAACAGGTAGACCTGCTGGGCCAGAAGCTGTTTCTACTATTCAATATCTGTGTCCCACCATCAGTGAAATGTTTTCATATTCCCCAGTGATCGTTTATCATTGGGAAACAGTCACCCATCCAGCCACATAGGAACCATGCATCTTCAATCTCTCCATGTGTGCAACTTTCATATGAATTTGCCATGTTGTTTGTTGTCAGGGCCATTTTTATTGTCTAACAGCTTACTTGTGTTTTATTATTCCACTAACTTAGTTTGACCCCTAAACCTGCAGTCATGGTTTATTTTATAATCAACAGTTATAAAGAAATGTAAAGAAGTATGTAATAAACATCATGTATCTTTATTGACATGAACAGGTGCTTCTGAAGTTGGCAGTGGGTATTACGGCCGTTACATCACAGACTCAGGAGACAAAGATGAAGATGGTTTTGACATTGATGACTCTGATTATGACATCTTTATTGAGGAGGTGGGTGATTGCATACTACAGCTTGACATGGATACCAATTTTAGGCACATCTATCATTATTAATCCTCTTATTTTTTCCTAGTTAAAGCCATTCCCAGGAATCAATAAAGACAACAGGAAGTCCCAGCTCCGTTCACGCCCTGATAGTCCATCTGGCCGTAACGTTGTTTATCGTATGAACACCATCGCTCCCCGCAACGTTACTGCTACGCCTGCTTCCTCCACCACCTCATCTATCTTCCCAGATTTCACAGATCTGGTTTTCTCATCCACCTCAGAGCCCAGGACCACCAGTTACACAAAAACCACGGCCCCACTTAGCACCACCAGGTAAGATTTAAAACCTTATTTTACCTTGATAATCGATTTTACTGAAGGGTTTACATTGATTATACTATTGATGTTTATCAGCAGCTGGAGGTCGTTATGGCCTCTCTTTTAAATAAATGATTTCCTTATGTTTCTTAATGTTTGAACAAAAAACAGGGGTATGAGGATGGTTTTCTTTTATCTCAGCAAAATCACAATTCTTATTGCAGATCCTCTTGCTCTTGGATTCCTAGATTGTCCCTTCTGGCTTTTTTATTTTCTCCAAAGATCCACCTACCGTTTTTTGTATACTCTTACACATGTGATAATAGATGGAGAATAGAGCAGTAACATGTCACACCAATTAAAGCTGCCATTCTGGTTGTGATGTACTGAATGTCATTACCTGCAGCAGAGTAAAAAAGGTATCACTCTTAGTTAAAACTTAGGAAAGAGCTGATAGATACATTATACAACTGCTTTTAAAATAGAAATATCATTATTTGCTAAACCACTGACTATACTGTAACATCACTAAACTTCTTTCTTTCTCTTTTGATTTTAGCAACCCTTTTCCCACCACCACTACCGCCCCAACATTGTCCCCCTGGAAAGGTGAGGTACCTCGTATGTACGAGCTGACCTGCGATGACACTGTGTGCCCCCCCGACAGCTTCTGTCTCAGCGATTTCGACAGCGGAGGCTCCCGCTGCCACTGTAACCTCGGACGGAGAGGGGACAACTGCTCTGAGGGTGAGGGAGGTGTAATTGAGTTCAAGCTTTAGTAAAAGTGTGGTGATGCTAAAGAGGCAACTATCAATTGTATAATACTTTCGTCTTTTATCCCTCCCAAAATAAACTTATGATGACTTTTTTTCCTCTTCAGTGGTATCCGTGAACTTTCCCAGGTTCCATGGCTTCTCTCACATGACCTTTGAACCCTTGAAGAACTCTTACCAGACCTTTCAGATCACTTTGGAGTTCAAGGTAAAGCACCATATCTTTTTTTGATTTGATTATGGTTTAGGGTGAACAGATCTTTAATCCAGTTTTTTCGGTGGTACAGGCCGACTCTGAGGATGGCTTGTTGTTATACTGTGGAGAGAATGAACACGCACGTGGAGACTTTACCTCTTTGGCTCTGGTGCGAGGCAAGCTGCACTACAGGTGAAGACAACTGTGACTCACTGAATGAAAGGAGTAGATTATTTTAGATAAAGTTTACAAGTCTGCTGGTTTTAAGAGACTGGATTGTTAAATATGTGATTTAAGGAAATCTGAGAATTTAATGAATGTAATTCTTCAAAAGCATTCAAGAAAAATATTTATTTGAACCATCTTAATGTGGTTGTTAGCATAACATTGATGACATTTGTAACACTGTATTCCCATTTGATTTAAGGGTGAAGCCATAAAGAAAATGGTGTGTTTAAATGTTCAATCTATAGACAATATAGCTGATAATAATATACAGTATATTTTGTATTTACAAATGGCAAATATAATTGTATAGAATCACTCATCCTTTGTGTAATGTCAGCATACTTTAGGTAACTGGACATTTTATCGTTTTCCCCTCAGGTTTAACTGTGGTACAGGAGCAGCTCAAATAATAAGTGAGAGTCGTATTGTGGTCGGTCAGTGGCACACAATCACTCTCTCCAGAGATGGCATGAGCGGCTGGCTGCGAATGGACAACGACAACCCATTATCTGGACGCTCAGAGGTAACAATAACACACATAATCACTTGCATATTTGTATTATTTTTACATAATATATGTGTTTGCATAAGACCTATTTATCAATTTATTAAAGTGCAGTACGGCTTCAAAAAGGGAAAAGCTTTTTGCAGTATAACTATTTTGATATTGTGGTTTGGATGAATTTTGTGTGGAACATTGCTGCCAAAGTGGTTTTACAGTAATGAAGCACATTTTGTTATCCTCACTCTTTGCTTTCAGGGCCAGTACACCAAGATCACTTTCCGTTCCCCGCTGTATGTGGGTGGATCCCCGAATGCTTATTGGCTGGTCAGGGCAACAGGTACAAATCGTGGCTTTCTGGGCTGCATTCAGAGTCTGACCGTGAACAACAAGGTGATAGACATTAGACCCTGGCCGCTGGGCAGGGCTCTGAGCGGAGCAGATATAGGTGAGGAGGCATACTACCAGCAGTATATGATTCTAACCCATATTACCCATAATGCACTGGTTTTCATCTTGGATATTGATGCTCAGACAAGTAGTTTAGGAGCAACTCTGGAGAGGGAAACAACTCATTTTGGACTCTGTACATAAGTAATGTAATGAGGTTAGAGGGCTCTATTTGAATATATATGGCAGTATTTCTTCATCGCCCAGTTTTTTCACTGTAAAGATTGACATGTTTTGATAGCAATTATTCTTCTGTTCAAGGTCCTGACAGTTCTAACCAAAAACAAAACAGGACAAACAAATATGTTAATATTCTTTTTTTTAAAAGAAGCTAAATGTTGTAAGTAGTCATCACCTAAGATAATAATGGTTAATGGTTGTGCACAATACCTAAGAGGATTTTGCGGAATACAATTGCTAAATACTACAATACTAATACTAAATGGGGGAAGAGCCTGAGCTATTAGTTGCAGCAAAAACTAAGTGCATCATAATAAATAGAACCCTAACCCTGTCTAAATCCCCCCCTTGCCCCCAGGTGAGTGCAGCGACAGTGTGTGTGACCTGGTCAGCTGTGCCAATGGTGGAGTTTGCTTTGCAAACCGTGCCGATGGCTTCATCTGTCTGTGCCCACTCGGCTTCAGGGGAGCACTTTGTGAAGAGAGTAAGTCAACTGTATTTCTCAAGCCTACTCAATGCGTTTGACTCATACCTAAAAACACACACTGTTATCAAGAGTCATATTTCTTTAAATCCCTTTGTGATAGCTGTCATAGATTGTCACAGAAACCTTTTAAAGTAATTACTGACCAGTTGAGTGCAATATAAAGGAACATTATTCGAGATGAGGATTATTATGTGTTATATAGAGGCAGGGGGATTGATTGCATGTGAGACTAGGTTTCAAACATTATATCCCCACTTTCTCTCCATTTGCTTTTCATTATTACATTATTATTACATGTCATTAGACGCTTTTATCCAAAGCGACTTACACACATTCAGTACTGTGGACAATCCCCACAGGAGCAATTTGGGGTGAAGTGTCTTGCCCAGGGACACAACGACCTGCTGACTGCAGTGGGATTCAAACTTGCTACCCCCTGATTCGAAGTCCAGCACACTACCCACTGAGCCACAGCCTCCCTCCCTTTTGTTCTTTTTGTTCTCATCAACTCCTTCTTCTTCCACCTCTTCATTCTTAATCATCTCTATGTGCTCACACCTCTTCTTCCCTCTTGGCCCAAATCATTTTTTGTCTTTCTATCCTTTTTATATATTTTCTTGTTTCCTCTCTCCACCCTTCAGGTTTCTCACTGTCCTCCCCTCTCTTCAATGAGACAGTGTTTTCGTATGCTGTCATCCCATGGCCCCAGTCCTTACAGAGTTATCTGTCCTTCATGGAGTTTGAGCTGACGTTTAGGCCGTCGTTGCCTGACGGGACGCTGCTGTACAGTGACGACGCAGGCAGCGGAGACTTCCTGGCTATCAACCTTGTGGACGGATATGTTGAGTTCAGATTTGACTGCGGCTCTGGAGGAGCTACTATAAGGTATTACATAGATTTATTCTTAAACTGTTCCCCGTCTGATTTACTTTCTCAGTATATTTTCAAACTAGATGACTGAAACTGTGTGTGCTACAGGAGTGACGAACGGATCAGTCTGGACAAATGGCATGAGCTGAGGGTGTCTCGCACGGCAAAGAGTGGCATCCTTCAGGTGGACAGCCAGAGGCCAATAGAAGGAATCACTGAGGTATTTTGTTTTTGGTTGAGGAAAGCTGCAGTATGTCATTCTTTTACTACAAGAGGGCAGAACAAACTCACACACTTCGAAAAGTGTGTTTGTACACTATTAGGTTGTGCGGGTATGGGTAAATAACATTGGACAAATTATAAATTCAGTTGATGCAAAGCAACATTGGTGTACCATTGGAGTCACCTGTTGAACGTCAGCCCAACATGTACACATACTATTTTTACATCTCATATGTTCTTTAATGTGTTCTTCTGTTTATTTGACAACAATTTAGCTTAAACCTTCAAATTGAAGGAAGGAAAATAACGTTTTTACAGTAGATTATGAAGACAAATCAAGGCAATACATTCGTAAACAGGACAAGATCTTTCTGTCGAATTCACAATTACATTTTCAACATTTTTTTTACCGTAACTCAAAATGGCATACATGTTTTTTTGTTTTAGGGGAAACATATATACAACGTTAATCTTAGTGTACATAATTGCTAAGAGGGCATAATTACATTAATTTATTTTGTAAATCACTAATTTATTTTTGTTCGATATCCTCTATAGGGAGCTTTCACCCAGATCAACTGCAGTTCACCTCTTTATATTGGCGGAGTGCCAGAATACGATAAAACCAAGAGGGCATCAGGTGTGATAAAGCCTTTCACTGGAATTATTCAGAAGGTAATTCAGTTCACATTTATGAACAATGTTGAAATGACTAAATGCTTTAAAGTTAACATTAAAGTCAAAACACTTTGTTCTTTCACATCACTAGACATCAAGTTTCTATTTCAGTGTGTAACCCTTTCTTGACCTCTCTCTCTTCCTCCATCTGGTCTCTCTCTGTTTCTTTCCTTTCCCTTCCCCAGCTGATACTTAATGATCGCACCATCCCAATAATAACTGGCTCAGCTGGTGGAGTTAATGTAGCAAATTCAGCTCACCCATGTGTGGAGAGTCCCTGCGCCAACGGAGGGTCCTGCAGGCCGAAGTGGGACGGTTATGAGTGTGACTGCCCCCTGGGGTATGACGGGAGGCACTGCCAGAAAGGTCAGTCGCATAGTTGCACAGTAAGCATAATAACAATTTTTTACAGAACTTGCTGTTTTAGCATGTGCCTTGAGTCTTCTTTAGTCTGTACCTTACATACTACGACTAGTGCAGCTATAAAATGGTGGCAGTCTAATGAAGTGAGAAGGTTTGCAGTTCAATTTTTCTTCTTAATCAGCTGTGAAGAAGTTAATGATTACTTTTTGTGTGTAATATTTTGATATAATTATGATGCATGATCCTTCCTCTCAGGGATTAATTGTGTGTTTTCTCTTTTAATGTAATGTCATATTTAATGATATATTGGAATACCTAATCCCTTAAGCCTATCTATGCTTTCTCTGTTTTTAATGCTTTCCCTGTACAGAATGTGGGAATTACTGTTTGAACAGTAAGTTTTTTTCAATGACTTAAAAATGCCATTAGAAACACCCTGCGCATCAATGAATCATAATCTATCATGGCCTCACTTAACTCATTGTCCTACATCTGTTTCCCCCTCGTACATTTCTCCTCCCAAAAATACCTTTTAGTCTTCTAGCTTAGTTTCATACATGCTGATGCTGCCACCTTTTGATGTTATAAAGTAAATACAATGTTTTCTCTGCCCAGCTGTGACTGAAGCCATTGAAATCCCACAGTTCATTGGCCGAAGTTACCTGACATATGACAACAGAGATATCCTGAAAAGGTGGGTTGTGAAGTGACTGTGAAGGGCTGCAAAATGTTTTGTGATATAGATATACTTTTAAGGTTCTTGTAATGATGTTCGTTATACTATCTGCACAGTTCTGGTTTTAATCTCTTTTGCTGGTAACTTTGTCTGTATTTTTTAGGTTGTCTGGTTCTAGGACCAACCTTTTCATGCGTTTTAAGAGCACAGCCAACGACGGCCTGTTGTTGTGGAGAGGAGACAGTCCCATGAGAGCCAACAGTGACTTCCTGTCTATGGGGCTTCAGGATGGGGGACTAATCTTCAGGTATTTGTTGTGTATGTGTTTGTAAAATTTGACCTTTTTAGAGAGGTTCAGCACAAAAAAAAACACCTCTGGGGTCATTTGGGTGTATTTGGGTATATTTGCCGTTTCTCTGGAACCCATTGGTCGATTTTGGTGATTGACATCTCGTTTGAACCGTTAGACCCAATAGAATCGAAGGGGAAGTTCCTATATCCACCTACACGTTAACATTGAGGAGTGAGAGTAATGCGCACGCAGTTTGCCCAAACCGAAAGCTATGTAAAGCTCTGAAAACTGAAAACTGAAAACTAGGCTTATTACTGATGGATTATCAGTAATCATTTGAAAGTGACACAGACACATTGGAGTCACCTATGGATTAACCTTCAGCAGCGTTTTTATTGTTTTAATGCCATTGAACACAACTTTTGATCAGAAAAACAGCAAAGGTAAGACTATTTGCCGTTTTTGCTCGCTAAAGCTACGTCGTGTGTTGTCTGGGTTTGCCTGAGCTGCCGTGAGTTTTGCGGTCGCACAGTGATGATATTTATACCTCTAGAATCTGTGGAATATCAGCTTTAATCTGATATCTTGTCTGTGCAGATCCGATAAGTAATAAAGTATTTCTACCGTGAGTTCTGTGCTAAATGCGTTAGCATCTTTTTGCTCAAGGCTCATTTAGACGCTTCTTGTGAGACTTGTGTTTTGTTTCGGTACAATTTTTTCGTATCTTCAGTTAGCTGAGTTTCTTCCCGTTAAGTGGGTATGACACATTAATAGGTTGTTAAATGGTAAGAAACCCTGAGACACAGTTTCGTGAAAAAAAAGCCTGCAGCCCCTGCTAATAATAATGAGCAACTTCCATTAAAGAAAGGTCCTTTTACTGTACATCCTATTATTTGTATGGATCTGGGTACATCCCCACTGTGTACTCTTGTAACTCCTTGTATGTGTTTCCATGTTGTTCTAGTTATAACCTGGGCAGTGGTTCGGTTAATATCGCTGTCAATGGGACCTTCACAGATGGAAAGTGGCACAGAGTCAAAGCAGTGAGGTAAGGTCTAAATACATATAAAATAAAAGGTGCACCTTTCACACCAACGCGTTTTCAGGGCCGGCTCGGAGCTAGAACCTGAAAAGTACCGGTTTTTCCTCTTCACACCGCAGCGGCGCCGCCTCTTAGCTCCGGAGTCCGGTTAGTTTCCAGCTCCAAAAAATGGTCAGTCTAGAAGCAAGATTCCGTAGCTAAGAGGCGGCGCTGCTTATGTCTCTCTACTACCTCATTCACGCCAACGCAACTCCGGTTCAAGCTCCGTGCTAGAGCTTTTCAGGTTCAGAACCGGTTCTTCGGTTTAGCTCCGGCTCTTTTCACACTGCCCAGAGTCCGACTGGTGCTGCGTCATTGCGTCATCGTTTGCGTCATGACTAACCGTTTGTGTGCCTGCTTCATAAAGCCAAACCACGCGGAAACCCCTCACAGCTGACACCGACAACAACAACAATGACCGATTGTGCTCCAGCTTCCTCTGTACCTCTTCGGAAGACCAGATTCCCAGTAGGTAGCTGGTCTCTTCAGTGGACCACTGCTGCTTGTTAAGTTTCTCCATCGTTGTGTACAAACTGGATAAAACGCAGGCTTTTTGTTGTTGTTCAGGAGTTGATCTGTCTCTGCCTCTGCCCCCGCCTCGACGTAAGCGTGACGTATGCAGTGCTTTTGCTCTAGCCGGACAATTTTTTGGAGCTTGAAACAAACCAGATTCCAGAGCTAAGAGGCTGCTCCGCTGCGGTGTGAACAGGAAAACCCGGTGCTTTTCAAGATCCAGCTTCGAACCGGCCCTGAAACACCGTTGGTGTGAATGAGGTATACGTTGAGGCGGGGGCAGGGGCATGGGCGGGATCAAACTCCTGAACAACAACAAAATGCCCGCCATTTATTCAGTTTGTACACAACGATGGAAAACCTCAAACTTAATAAGCAAGTAAAGTCGTCCCTCGTAAAGTCGTTCCTTGTAAAGTCGTCCCATGCCTTCCATTTCGTTTCGTAAGAGCATAACCAAAGCGAACAGCGCTTCAATACAATCGGCCATTGTTGTTGTTGTCGATGTGAGGGATTTCTGTGCGGTTTGGCTTTTATGAAGCAGGCACGCAAACGGTTACGTCATGACGCAAACGATGACGCGATGACGCAGCACCAGTCGGACTCTGGGCGGTGTGAAAAGAGCCGGAGCTAAACCGAAGAACTGGTTCTGAACCTGAAAAGATCTAGCACGGAGCTTGAACCGGAGTTGCGTTGGTGTGAATGAGGTATGTGTGGTGTGAACAAAGCGGGAGCAGAAAAGGGAAACCGGAGCTGAACCAGAAAAGCTCTAGCACGGAGCTAGAACGGGAAAAGCGCTGGTGTGAAAGCCGCATTATATAGATGTTCACTAAAGAGATCTCTTGCTATATTTTTGACTTAACTTGACAACTCAGACAATGAAGATGCACCAAGGTTGTTCTTTGTCCACTTGGGGGCAGCAGAACATTCTGACAAATCACCTTTAAAGTTGATTTATATGCGATGTGTTATCCCCATACAAGCAACTCCCTACTCATAATACATTGTACTTTGATTGTTGATATTATTTAGATGGATTATTTTAGTTTTAAGGAGAGGTATTTGGTAAACCTGCTATTCTTTCCAGTGCATGACATTCAGAAACAGGTCAACTTTCAAACCATGTGGAAAATGAAAAAACGAATACAAGGACAAAGATAAACTTTAAAGACATTTTTAATTACTTGGGTTTACCTTCCCAATACGTTTTCAGAGATGGCCCGTCAGGGAAGCTGACAGTTGATGACTATGGAGCAAAAACAGGACGGTCACCCGGAAAGATGAGACAACTCAATATCAACGGCCCCCTCTATGTTGGTAGGTGGTGCTGACAACTGATCATCTCAAAAAGCTTTATATCTACTGTAGACAATAATTTTAATTTCTTTTTTTCACCCTGAAGGTGGCATGAAAGAGATAGCCCTTCACACAAACAGACAGTACATTGGAGGCTTGGTGGGCTGCGTGTCCCACTTCATACTCTCCACTGATTATCACTTAGCTCTGGTGGAGGACGCTGCTGACGGCAAGAACATCAACACCTGCTCCAACTAAAATAAATCGCTTCAATACAAGAAGGTCTGTTTTCAGCTATGTTTTTCAACTGGAATGAACAACTCGACCAGTTGAAAACTGAAAGAATAAAGTACATTTTGCTCTGCCAATTCTAGGCTGACATTGTATAGACTGGAAGTGGGAAAAGACTAACAACATTGTTACTTCAAGTCACAAGATGATTTAAGTGGCAAGGTTTCCAAACCAACTCTAACCTGCCAAGTTTTATGTTTTATTTTCATGTAACAACTTGTTGATGAATTGCTCTGAAAAACCGTTTGGACATATGGCAACAGCAAACGACCAAAGGATATTACAAAGCACAAGTTCTCTGTGAAAGGAGATACAAGCTTAAAGTTATGGGTAATGGAGGTCTTTGAAGGAATTTTTTTCCAAATCGTATATTTATTTTTTCTAATGTTAATCCTGATTTGATTGCTGGAAGAACTGAGTGATTCGAAGGATCGAGAGTCATCACAACTTTTTCATGAACCTGACCCACAGCAGCTAGCAGAGATAAACTTGTTTGTAGAGGATTTAGGTTTTGACCCTAGAGCACTTCTTGTTTGTTTTTGTGGAATTGTGAGGCGTGTTCTTGTTGGTGACGTATTATCAGTCTGTAGACAAATGTTTTTTTGAAAGTCTGATTAAAGGTTGGTAGTTTTAAGGGACGTAGATGTAAGCTGCACATAATATTTAACCTTTATAAACTCCTCTTTTAGTTTACATGCTCCTTTATTTGGAACAATCAGATACTGGTCACATGAAAGTCATGTTGACACGGTGAAGCAGCCAAAATGCTGGTGGTATTGTGCGTGACCATATTTGACTATCATCTGACACAAACCAAATCCCTATGGACTTCAGCCTGCAAATTGAGCTTCTTTCACAACAGAGAAGAAATTGATTATTTCTCTTAGTTAAGCACTTTAAGTGCAAGATGATACATTTAGTGCTTTCTCATGCTTAAGCCTGCCTATTTGAATTACTCTCGCTTAACAAACAACAAAACCAATGTTATAGTTATAACAGGAGTTTGCATCTTGGATTTGTTTTGAGAAAATAAAATGTCTAGTTATGGTGACATTTTCGTTTTGAAGTCTGAAGGGATCTAAATTAAGCAAATCCACACCTGTGTAACGTGAATAAACATACGTTACGTGATTTACCACTGGGTAATCAGAGGGGTTGACCATCAGCTGTACACAACGTAGCACATATTGACTGTTGAACCATGTGTGTAAAATAGCTGTGTACCATAGACTGTAGGAAAATGTCGGTGTAGCATCTGTGATGTCAGCATATGTGTCAGTTAGTGAAGCCAGATAATCTACATGTGTGCATGGGAACTGACCTGGGTAGAGCTGGAGTGGGACGAGCAAGCAGGAACCATCACGGCTGAGTGTGCTCATCCCAAAGCTGACTGCTAAATCAAGCCTTAAAACTGTATCTCCGTTAAGATCCCCTAAAAATAAAAGAATCATTTACAGTACTAAAAAAGTGTATAGATCACCATTTGTTATATGATGAGAAGTTGATTGTAGGCGAGTATAAAGGAGTATACCTTTCCATTACATTTTTGCAACCATGAAATAAACTAGGGAAGATAAAATAAGATTTGAATGGATACACCACCATCTTTTTTTAAATTATTAACAAGAAATGTTCCCTGTATTTGTATTTGGTACACTGTGACAATTGCCTGTCTAAAACTAGAGGCTGTGATAAATGCTAACCAAATTAAATAACTGAATAGCTGATTCAATAACACATTGTCATGGTTTGTAATGAATGGTCGTGCTCTCTCGATTTATCTGGGAAGTGGAAGTCAAAATGTCCAAACAACATTTGTTATGGATTGAATAAAGCATTATGAACAAGATTTCTGTTTAATATGGTAAACTATTCTCAAAGAAACCAACATCTTTTTGTTACAGTTTTTCAACTAAAAGGCTGTTCATGCCTCTTACTGACAAACAGTATCTCACTTGCTGCACTAACTGAGGTTTGTTTCACACGCAAGAACAAGTTCTTTAAAAGATCTCCAGGAATCGACAAAAGGAAACATTATAATATAAAATATACTATGTTGTCATCCATCTATATTCAGGGAAATATCGTGAATCGATATAAATATTATTCCAGCACATCATTAGTGGTCCCCATGTCAACAACTGTCAACATTTTTTTTATAAAGGAGAGATTATTTAACAAATGACAAATCCCTGTTGGAAGCAAGAAGAAATTCAAGATCTTAAAAAACACGAATTAAGCAAAGGTTGACCCTGTGTTGACTCTTGTGATGAAAGTGAATATCAAGTACATGAGAAAAGGAGAAAACATTTTATAACCTGGCACTGTGATTCACAGAGGCAGAAGATTGTCAATGTTTGTATGAACAATGTATATACCACACAATAACTACCCGGTGATAACTCACACAGCACTGGATACAAGAGAATGTATGTACAGTTGTGTAAATGAAAAATTGTTCAACCCCGATAAACAAAGAAACACGCATTTCAGGAGAGCAATGTTCTGCACATAGGAAAACACACATTGAATTCTTGTTTCTTTCCTTGCTTCAATTGTATTTCCCCCTTGTCATTATTGCCCTTTCCTGGAGGTCCTTTCAATCACAACTAAGCTTACAAGATTTGACATTACATTTCAGAACATGCTGGTGGTTTTGTAACATCTAGGTTGCTACAATATATTTCTACCGTGCTGTTGAAAATAGGGCAGTCTGATGGACTTTTGTCATACAGCAATACAACTATCTATAAAGTATTCAGTTGGTCATTGCTATGCTTAAATCCAGCACATAGCTTCGTCATATGTAAGCATGTCACTGGTTAATATTGTCATTTGATGCAAGCTGCTAAAAGCTAAAAAGATACATTGTCTTGGTACATCGTACCATCTCCGTTGCTCATTGCTGGACATGACATGACACATTTTGTTCAGGACTGAGCATCTTTCAGAGGAATTTTACATTGAATTTGATTGATTTTGTTCCCGCAGGTGTTCTGTTCCATCACCTCAACACACGCAGTAACTTGTGTACACACACACACGCGCACGCACACACACACACACACACACCCACACGCACGCACGCACGCACGCACGCACACACACACACGCACACACACACACACACACACACACACCACACACACACACACACACACACACACACACACACACCACACACACACACACACACACACACACACACACACACACACACACACACACACACACACACACACACACACACACACACACACACACACAGACAGAGCGCACTCCAGCTCTACATTATCTACAGTACGCCTAGCACCCAGAGTTCACACTCAAATGAACTGAGAGCAGGGGGGACTAATGAATTGAGCTTTTCATTGAAGTGAAACCATTTAGTTATTGAGGTCATCCGCTTCTTATCGCAGTTTAGAGTTAAAGGTCACCCCTGAGAGATTCACTATAAACCTGCCACATTCAATTCACTTGTGATAACTATCCAGTCTGATAACTAGTGGTTTATGTTTGGTTTTATCTAAGCATTCAGTACGTTCTTCTTTGAATGAAAACTGATAGCAGTACAGTTACCTAACCTGTACCCTAACTCTAATCCTTTTTCTCACTCTGATCATTGACTTGAATAACACATTGTGTTACATACACCAGGACCCTGTAACCTCATCCTGCTCCACTTGCAGCTTATAGTATATTTAATGGATTGACTCACCCAGAAAAAATACATTGTTCCCCTTACAGTCTATTCGTTTGTAGAGGTTATGTTCAGTTTATGCTTTATAGTACCTCCAGGTTGTCAGCAATCAAAACCAACCCTTTAAATAAAACCCTTTCCGATTCTGAACACCAAAACTATTTTAGGCAAAACAGCTATATAAACGAACTAACTCAGAAAGCACTTTAAGAGCCTCATCAATAGATATAGCCAGATTAGAAAAAAACAGGCTTCAAAAATCGTGATTGAAATGGAAATGGAGGGTTTACATAAATCTACGTTTAATCTTCGCAGCACTGCACACACAGTCAACTTACATGTAGCATCTGCATTTAAAGCAGTGGACAACTATTATTTACACTACACTTTGGCAGCAGTGTGAGGGTCCTGTGCCTTGCTCAAGGACACCAATTTTAGATACTTTGCTTTTTTGTGTGCATGAAAAAGTTGATGAACAAAGATGTGATAATGTGAGAATCAGTCTGGAACAGGAAATGTAAACACATCAATTAGTACATAAATGGAATATTTAATGCACTGAGTTGTTTCGCCCAGTCTGAGAGCCTGGAAGAGAGGATGGAAATAAGAGGAAAAGTCTCTTGACCATTGTCTATGTGCACAATTCAGTCTTTTCTCACATTAGCCTTAAAGAACTGTGTTACCAAATAAGGTTATGTTCTGTTGGATCTCTATTCCCCCATGTTCAATAGCACAAACGTTATTTATGGGAAGAGGGGAAGACAGTTTTCAGTCTTGCCAAATAGGGATTTGAGTTAGTTTATTGGTCTCCACTTATTCTGATTTATAGTGTAGAATCACAAATGGAGGAGGCAAAGAAGGAAAGATATGCACAAAGCAGATTATCAATATTCCTTAAATGTAATTTATAATTCATCGGTTACCTACTTATTCTCTTGCTGGATATTCATTTTCAAGACATTTTTTCTAAGTTACAAACAAATCAAGGCAACACTTCTTCAGAATGATCCTCACATTGCCCATAAGGACTTTTACTACAGGATATGGATTGATGTTGAAAACAGAACACATTGTGCCATGACTCTGCAGAGCATTGGGGATTTAATCAGTAAGCATGTGACCAATTAATGATTCACAATTCAGCTGGAACAAAACCTTATCTGACCAGAGTACATGTCATAATGCTCCTCAAAAGATTATATTTTAAAATCACATTTCCCCTGATAAATGTTGAAAGGGTACAGTCCATCCTCTTGGGGAAATGTACATTTAAACAGGTGAAAGCCATTGAGAACATGTCACGGTGGAGTTCTCTGCTCATGCTCATTCTCCGCTTCTTCCTCTTAGTGGCAGGTTCACACCGGTTGATCCTTTTTATGTAAAATAAATCATGCATATATTCTGCAGACAGAACGTGTGAAATGCTCTGTGATATTAATCAAAAGTGAAGAGAGATTCAGTCGTTTTTCATGTCTTTATTTTTGTTTCATTATTCACCAAATCCTTTTTGATAAACGGAAGATTACAAAGTTAATGACACTAAACAATTCTCTCACAAATGAAAAACTAATCCTTTAAGAACAAAGAAAAGGAATTTTTGTACAGATTTAGAGGCTTGGTATATGTTTACATAAAATAGAAACTGCAGAATAAATATAGGCATATGTGAACTTAAAAAATATATTTTTGACCAAGAAAAACCAGTCCATTGCACTTTAATGATAAAGATTGCTTTACAGGGTCTTGTCAGTTAGTATTGCATCCAGCCGGTTTCTATGTTGGCTGACAGTGAAGACAATGAGGAACAGGTTGAAACGAACCAATTACCCTTCTAGTCCATGTTATTTATGCTTAACACTTCAGCTTTACTCATACAGTGTAGAAACACTTGTTTTGCTATTATAGAAAACAGTTCCCCATCTTGTGTGGGGAATAATGTGCCTGAGTGCAAACCCACTCAAATGCTCAACATCCAGTTTTGTCAAGGCAGGGCTTACACATTAAGTAATCCCTTTCACGACACGTGTGGTGCCCCTACAGTGATAATATAATTCAGTAAGAGTGTTTTAAATCCACGGTCATTATGTAGTGCAAATGGATCAATCAGACAAATTCAAGTGGTTTTCTTCCAAAGTGTTTTAACTAAAGGTAAAATAGAAGGTCTTTGTGTTTCTCCTGACAGTAGGTCAACATATTCTCTAGTGAGTGACACAACGACGTAACATGTATGTCATGATGAATAATCCCTGGAATAAATATGCATTCATAACACTTTGAGTGACTTGGACGATGGTATAATTGCCAAGGACTTTAGATTTCATGAAAAACCTTTAAATGTAAGACTGTGGTGTTAAATAGTATATGCGTAATGTGCTTTTCTTAAAAAATGTCCTTTGATTATGAGAAAAAAAAATGAAACCATTTAGTTTTCTCTGGAGAATAATCAAGCTTTGTTTCAAATCACGAGAGCATTCACGTAAGAAGCACATTACATGGTTGAAAAAGGAATTGCTGAAGAAAATTAGAATGTTCTGCTTGTGTGACTCAGCATCAGTACTTCATATTAGTCCATCTCTTGGCTCACATTGTGCGTTTCATCCTCATCATATATACTGCTATTTTAGAATTGTAGCTCATTCAGCCTGATGGAGCTGTCATTGCCTGGGTTAGTTATGCTTCAGATGCTCTGTTTGGCTACTGGATATCCCAATGGGGCTCCTATTGGCGCCTGTGAAGACATGACGCCTCGCCACACTGGTGTTCTGCCGCAGCCGTCCCCAGCGCCTTACACTCTGCTGGTCAACACTGGGACCTTTCAGCCGGGCAAGGCCATTACTGGTAAGATATCTATGATCCCTCTTAGAAATAAGAAGAAAAACCTCACATAAACATTACAAACTATTAATAATCCAGACAGAAAGCTGTGAGTCATGGAGGAGAACATTTATAAAGAAATTGCTATTTTTTTTACAGATGATAAGGGATTTATTTTTCAAGTGGGGAGAGCAAGAACAACTTTTATTGGAGCTTTGTTACAAAAGCTTTGTTTGTGTTAATCTTGGACAAGGAACACACTTCTTTCAAGAACTCAAATCTGTGTTCACGCGGTGATTCAAATTCTTACAGAGCAACCAAGGGATACTATTGTTTGAGCCATTATAAAGCTGATGTGAGAAAAATGTTTGAACAAAGGGACTGTTTATGTGTATGCGTCTGTTATGTCAGGCAACAAATTATTGGTATTTGATGGAAGTCACAAACAAACTTGGATAAGGTTATTTTACTCATACCCACTTAATTGTGTTGAGTATTATTAGAAACTATCATTCTGGTTGGAAGTAATTTCCTTTGATTCTTTTCAAACAAGCTATTTGTTGTAGTTTACCAGCATACCGAAAGAAGCAAGGGAAAGGGAGACTGAGAACACTTTAATATCTGTGAACTTATTGTCAGACATTATTTCAGTATTAAACAACCTAAAGCATATGGCATTTCCCTCTCATATCGTGCAGCATTGTGAACTTCTTACTCCTCTGCTGGTTTGCAAGTAATTTTGGTTTACTGGATACATCAATAAATGAGGAATATATCCTGTTCATCTGTTTTCATTCCATACTTTTATAAAGCAAGTGAAAATGAAGAGTACATATAAATATTACTCTATATATCGGCTCAGCTGTATCTGTGTACTCCTGCAGTGACTATCAGTGGACCAGAGTATCGTGGTGTGCTTCTGGAAGCTCGGACAGACGGCAGCACTAATGCTCTGGGGAGCTGGCAGCACCCTGCTCCAGACACAAAGTTTCTTCAGGCGAGTTTCATAGCTAAACTCTCAAACCATCCGACACAGAGGAAATAGGAGAGATCTCTTTGCTAAATCCAGTCTTGTAGAAAATATATTGTTTTACATTCTTATGTCTGAGAGATTTCATGATGTGATTTTGTGTTTTATATTAACAGTGCACAGGGAATCCACAAGGTGCTATTACTCATGCAAACACCAACCTGAAGAGCGAATCCACTGCATACAGCTGGATGCCTCCTGACTCTACGAGCCCTGTCTACTTCATGTAAAACAAACACATTTTTCCTCAGATTTTTCAATCACAAAAACAAAACACTTCTGCTCTCATACTCTGTGTTTCTTCAGGGCCACAGTAGCTCAGCAGCGCGCAGTCTTCTGGGTAAATGTGAGGTCCGCCGCTCTGAAAAGAGGTAGGTAGAGCAGGCGGAAACATCAGAAATAAATTCAAAGAGAAAAACTGTAGTGATGATTTGCCCTTATCTTCTGCTTCTCAGGGAAACCAGAAAGTCTGGGATTGGCTACAGAAGCAAATGCAGGAATGGCTAAAGAAAAACCTGTGCTTCTCCTCGGGATATGTTTCCTGATGATACTGGTGCTGGCGTGAACATCATGGGAAAATAACATGTTTTCCTGCAATCTATTGGGCTCTGTATAATGCTTTGAATTAATCACAAAATTGTTTTTGACTATCTCCCTTTAAAAATACACACTTTTGCAGACATTATATCATTAACTCAAGCCACAAGCATGAACACAAAATAATTTTCCTCGCCATAGACATCATTTATAGATGTTTATTTTGTGTCATGCAGTCATGTCCACACCTTTTATGGTGTGTGTTCAGTCCTATTTAATACATAATAAAACACGTGGACTTCTGCAAAGAGAGGAAATGGGGCACCTTTAGAGACATTAACTGACATTTAAAACATTTCAACTAAATGCATTCAAGTTTTTATAAAGAAATGTATGATTACATAAGAAAAGGTCAGTCATTCTGGTGCGTCATCCCTCTGGCTTTTTTGAAATATATACTCTACTACAGAACAATGATATTGTTTAACAACAAGCACGTCACACTCTTGCTCTCATATATATGTGCATGATTTACACGGTAAACCCCTGCATGATTAAAGACTTGCCCTGTATGTTAAGTTTAGTAAATGGGTTATCAACCTTAATTTTTTTCACCAGACTTTTCTCTGTATTGTATGTCTCTCTGATGATAAAAAAGATCCATCACTTCACATATTAAAAGAAAAACTCATCAAATTAATGTTATCCCTTTAATTTCAGAGAGAGAAAGAAATGGATTGATAGATAGAGGTTGGTTGTTATTGACAGCAATTCATTCCACTTATCGAAGAGCGTGTTATGATGGTGATGGACTTTTATTAATCCCTCATGGGGAAATTGTTTCTCTGCATTTGACCCATCCTAGTGTTAGGAGCAGTGTACTGCCATTTTGAACGGCGCCCGGGGAGCGGTGCCTTGCTCAGGGACACCTCGGTAGCACTTGGTCTTGCCGGGACTTGAACTGGTGACCTTCCAGTTGCCAAGCCAAGTCCCTATCAACTTCGCCACCACCACCGCCCCTATGAACTGCTTATTCCACATCGTTTGATCTATAACCTAGATTCCCTGTATGTTGATGAACAAAAACCTAGGCAGATAGTAAAGAGGCTTAAGGCATGCATTACATGTGAGATTTAAAGCTCAATATTCATCATGTCCTGCTTGACTCACATTTTTCAGCTCCACATGCTGCAGCACCTCCTGACAGCTGTGCCATAACCAGAGGAGCAGGTGCAAAGTCTACTTTACTTAAACAGGCGAAGGATTCAAATGTTATATATATATCGCCCACAATTCAAATAAACAGCAAAAAAACACATGTGAATGTTGAGGATCTTTCCATTTGATAAATTCTATCTAATATTTATACATCTTTCGAAAGATTCATATAATTATCTTGAGCAGTGAGACAGCAAACATGACAGAAATACATGCATGATAAAGTTGAATTGCAAAAGGTTTAACCGCTCAAGTCAGATCAGAAGAATGATCATCAGCAGAAATCATTTAGCTTTATATTTCTACTCCACTCCAATATCAGAAATATTGAAACATTTAACCTCACTACATTTTTTCTGTCGATTTAAGAGACTTTGACAAATCAGATTGATATTACAAAAAACAACAAATAAGTTCTCACGTATAATTTAGCTTACTAAAGCTAAAGCTTACTTACTTTAGCTTACAATTTAGCTCGTAAATCAATTAAGCTCCTCCTCTGCCAGCGACTGTGGCTCAGAGAGGGTTGTGTGTGTGTGTGTGTGTGCGTGTGTGTGTTTGTGCATGTGTGTGTGTGCATGTGTGTGCGTATGTGAATGACTGTATGTATCAGTGTATGACTGTGTGTGCGAATGGTTTAATGTTGGCATTTTTTAAAGCGCTTTGAGGGCTTGGAAGACTTCGAAGGCGCTGTATAAATGCCAAGTCCAACATTCAACACATTAATGCATCACTATTTCTAATTCAATTATATAATAGTATTATATAATTGAAATATAATTGAAAAAACGGTATTATACCGTTTTTTACCGTTTTGAAAAATGTGTACTTTTTTGTACATTGTGATGCTAATACTTTTGTTCTCTGCTTAGATACAATTTTATATGGAGGGCTTTTACTTGAAACAGAGCATTTCGTCACTCTGTCTACATGTCCATGTCAGGGGATGGGCCAAGTAACATGTTATTGGAAGTTGTTGCCTCTGCAGAGAACTTTATAAAAGTATAAATCTACTGCACTGATTTAATACCTGATAATCATGCTGGTGCTTTGTCTATAAATGGGGCGAAGCCTGCGAGCTAGTTCAGGCAGTCAACTCGAGCACTTATGCTGCATTCATAGTACATAAGGCCCCTTGCCACTCTACAACCAACCAAACAGTGTCTCCTTAATATGCCGCTCTATTTAACCTGCTAGATATCTCTCCATGCATTGCTTGCTGCTGCTATTGCTGCAGCTACCTCTACGTCGCTGCTGCTTGCTGCCCCACCACCACCCCAGCTTCCACCCCAGCTTCCACCTGTAGGCTTGGGGGTTAGTTATTTAATCATCACTCATCGTGCTATGTATATCTATGGAGTGATGATGCCCGAGCCTATAGTCGCCAAACTCAACTATATGCTGCTTCTAATAAATATGTTAAAGAAACACGTGAGTTGTCTGACTGAACTGATATGCCTCTATGTAGTGAAGTATTGATCTCCAGCTGACTTATGTGCCCGAGGTTGCAATTTTAGTCACAGCGCCAGTACCACTCAATAATATATTTTCCACTGCAGGTCAAATGCCAGCTAGAACAGGGGATTCAAACCCAGGATTTAAGCACCAACACAACCAGCTGGTTCAATAGTCATTGACTCATGGACATGTGGAACACCGACCTCCTTTGTTCAAGTCAAAGTTTATGAATCCCACACCACTGATGTGTTTTTCCATAGAGACAAGGTCATTCATCCAGATGGTGTGTTGGGGTAAACAGAGAGGATGATAGTTGGAGATCTGAGATGAGAGACGTGGGCATGCCGTATAACCGGACAAACTACAGTTGAATATCTGAGTAAAGGAAAACACATCAGAAAACCTTTTACCCCAGTCAATAAAAACATGGAAAAGACAAAAATCAAAGCTTTCCAATTGGAAAGCAGGCAATACATCTCAAAGGATATTTACTATACTTTTCAAATGTTGCTTTCCATTCTGAAAAAGTATAACAAGTACAACAGCTGTCAACAGTTTGTTATGTCCTCTTCAACAGGCCTACTATTTCCACAAAAAAACTAAATATGATCAGATGCTATTGACCTTTAAATTGTGTCATCTTAAGTCAAAGCATGTTGTGTTGAACGCTATTTTTAATTAAGAAATGTACACATCAATGAAATCTCTTGTAAATGTTTTTAAATATTACATTTAAAGCAACCTAATTTCTCATTTGTCCAATTTGCTTTTCAAGTAAAATTTGACTCGTGCCGTCATCTCGTGCAGACAGAGTTGGATGAGGAGGAGGACTTGCCCCTTTTTCCCTCTGTAACTCACGTGTGTTGCACACACTGCATTAACATGAAGAGTGGCCTTGTCAGGCACAGTCAGTGTAAGGCTAATCAACATCACATTTGACCTTGTTTGTGTAATCAAAAGATCTCTTAAAAAATCAAAGTTTAAAATCTTTTGGAAGTTTGCAATATGCTGTTCTTTTATTATAACTTTTTTTATTTGCAACTTTATTAGTTTACAAACTAAATGTATTTGACATTTTTGAGATGGCTAGGGTCATAAATAAGGATTTACTGTATATACAAAACAAATCCTGAGGTTAATGTAGCACTAGATGTCCTAGTTGTATGTTTCCCTGCTGTGCTGACATACTGCAAACATAACAACTGTGATTAGGTCACCCAGCAGAACCCGGCCACAGTAATCCCATGACACATCTGTGTGCTCTGTGTGATATTGTACACAAATACATACTACATGCATGCGTATAATATGTATACATACATGCATGAATGCAAGCACACACACTCACACACACACACACACACACACACACACACACACACACACACACACACACACACACACACACACACACACACACACACACACACACACACACACACACACACACACACACACACACACACACACACAAACACACACACATGCACATGTGGAGTATCATGTACATTAATAATACAGGCAGATCAAACAGTGATCCACATGCATGCACAGTTTGCAGATTAAGGCTATCCCTTGCTGTAGGGGCTTAGTTGACATCTCTGTCTAAACTCTGCATTCTTCACCTCCCTCTATTCCCTTCATCTCCTTTACACCATGTCCAGCACCATAAAAAGCAATGACCAGCAGATGAAGCATGCTTCCTTTCCATGTCCAGTCAGCAGTCGCAAGAATATCATTTAGAACAGGGCCCTATAATCCTCTTATTTGCTCTTTTAAATCGATCCGGATTTGATTAGCTCATAGACAGTATGCACCCGCTCAGATTCACTGTGTGCATTGTTCAACTAAAAGTGCCAATTCATATTATTTACTATAATTGAATGGCTTCAAAGATGCCAATTGCTAATGTGTTCATTATATTTAATCCATGGTGATGCATATTTATTTTGGGACATTGCCTAATGCTGATATTACAGATTTATGACAGATTTCTATGGAGCCATTATAATTGATTTGAGTGCTCTTTTAAAATATTTGCAGCACAGTATTTTGGCTATGGGGTAAACTTTTTCTGTGCTATTTTAAGCTTTCTTAAAGCTGGCCCTTTTGCACATGAATAACCTTTTCCTACAGCTAAAGGGGAGGTAGACATGTTTGATAAGTGTGAAGTAAAGGATAGTGTGTGTGTGTGTGTGTGTGTGTGTGTGTGTGTGTGTGTGTGTGTGTGTGTGTGTGTGCGTATGAGTGTCTGTGTATGTGCGTGTGTGTGTGTGTACTTGTGTGTGTTTGTGTCTGTGTGTGTGTTCTGAACCATGATGTGTGCCTTGTTGCTTAGACTGATGGTTGATT